TCTGAATCGTGTAGTGTTGTATTTGTGCAATACGTTTTGGACAGTCTGGTCACGCATGGACTTGTCATAGGAATACATATGAAATTAATACAGTTAAGAGGTTAGAAAATAAATCTAGGTGGAATTAAAATCGCATATTAAAGGTCGAAATAACAATGAAGATCACTTAACCAGATAACAGAGGTATCAGTACATCTACACTGACTGGAATCAAAACGTAGTTTAACAAAGAAGGTTTCGTGTAATGACGAATAGTTTTGGAACTCGCAAAGGTGGTTTAAACTTCCTAATCACACGTGGGCTTCCACAAACTATAGGATGCAATCCAAACACGTTTTACGGATAGGTTTAAAAAATGTGCAAACGTCAGTTTTATGTCCTGCCTCCATATGATGTTTCGCAGTAGAGGAGCTAGGACTTCTGTTCTCACCACTAATAGCTTTTGAAGATTATGTTCGCTTCTGGAGGCACTCACGAATATGATGCGTAGCCCTTACTTGCAGAAATAGATGATTCCTCTCCAAATGGATACAGCAACCGCTTCTATACCTTACGTCCATAGCTTTAAGAGATATCGGACATTACTTCTACGCGATTTCAAAATAATTTTGCGAATTAACTTCTAACAAACGCAAATAATATAGCGTCAGGACAATAAAAAATCAGGTTTATGAAACCAAACTGGATAATAGGACAAAATGATGTACACTTCAGATGTCCTCACGTACCTGATCACTAGAATGGTATTCAAATCCGCCAAATTACTAGAATAACGCAGTGAGCTTTTAACTCAGTTAAAAATTTTGGCAGAAAACAGTGAATGTTGTAAGTGATCGTAAAAGATATTGCAGTTTCTGCCCATTTGTGAACACTAATCTTCGCTCGTATCTATGGATTCCATTGACTTTCAGCTATCGAAACACCACAAAAGAGTGCGGAAGGATGCATGAATTCGATATCAACCACATTCTTTGGTTCTTGCAACAGTAATAGGTACTGCACAATAGCTGATAGGGGAAATTTGCGATCGAGTACAAGTTACCTCCAAGCTGCATAGAAATTTATCGAATGACAGTTGTCGAAATGTACGCGAAGCTTACTCGGTATGCTAAATAGTAATTGCATGAACCATATACTTACGCGTCCTGTCACACAAGCAATCAGTAAATGCTCAAGAACAATATCGAAAAACAATTTTCACATAAATACATCCAACAAGAGCAAAATAAGCACCGAAATCGCGTCAATTGAGTTTGCCTGGATGGACAGCTTCAACTCGAATCAACGAAACCGCGCATATGCCGTCAAGGTTAAGCCAGAGGCGTCACTTCAAATAGGAGATATCCCATATCAACGCCCACGTGCTTTCTTGTTCAATGCGTATGGTTGCACATTTTGCCACATTGATCGGGAGCATCCATTCAACAGACCACTTCGACAATTTGTTGAGGTCCTCTTGCAACGTGAACGTATCACTGTTGTTCTTCAGCTCTTTCCAAATTTTTAAGTCATCTGCATATAGGACCACAAGGAATTCGGTGAGCAGAGATAACTCATTGATATACAAAATAAATGGGAGATGTCCGAGTACCGTGCCTTGTGGCACTCAGCTACTTACTGCTGTCCAAGAGGAGGGTTTCGAGTTGATCCTAACCCTCTGCCTCCTATCTATGAGGAATTCCCTGAGTCAATTTAGTAATCTGCCTTTGATACCATGACTTTCCAATTTCATGAGTAGTGTCAGCCACGTCTCATAAACCGTTAATGCCCAGCCCTTGCTACGCTGGGACTCACGCTGTTCCTTGAAGTTTTTCAGAAACGCTTAGTAATAACGGACGCAAAAACCAAAACACCGATTGGCCGCTTGAGAATTCTTTATTGTAACACCAACATATAAAAAATATTTCTATTAAGGTCTGTGAACAAATATTACAATGATAAATCACAATATTACTTATGACGGTTTATTGCTGACTTCCTTCTGAACAGTGACCGATGAGACGATGACTGTCGTATTGATGCCTCCGCGAAAATTGGGGAAGTTGGTTTTGAGCAAACAACCATGAATTGATCGTTCAATCTTCACCTGCATTGACAAGTAGTCTTTTGTGAGGTACTTTATTAAAGGCTTTGCTGAAGTCTATGAAGACGACGTCAACGGGTCTTCTGTTGTCCCTTGATCTAGCCCAGCTTTCTCTTGCAGTCAGGAGATTTGACGGGCATGAGAGGTTCCTCCGGAAGCCATGCTGTGCTCCAGATGACAAGCTGCTATTTTCCAGATAAGCCATGATGCTTTTCTTGATAATTCTTTCCAGTGTCTTGATTAAAGTGCTGGTGAGACCGATAGGCCTGTAATTTGAAGGGCTTTGTCTTGATTCACCTTTGTGTATGGGGGTTACTATGGCGTCTTTCCAATCACGTGGCAACACTCCATTTAGGAGAGATAGCTTGAAGATCGTGGTCAAGGGGCCGGCTATGTGGGCTGATAGCTCCTTGAGAAGCCTTGGATGAAGATTGTCAGGACCCATTGATTTCCCTGCATCTAGTTTCATTAAGCAGTTGAGCACGATGCCTTGGTCGATGTCAACGGAATCTATCCCATGTTCTTCTGATGCAGCCAGAGCTGATCCTATAGGCAGTGATGACTCCTGAGTGAAGACTTGGGAGAAGTAGTTTGCCATTGCTTCTGCTTTTTCTTGATCTTCTTCGATTGTATCTTTGTCAATAATCAGGTTTGGGACACCACTGGATATCTTATCCCTGAAATTCAAGTACGAGAAAATTTTCTTAGGTTGTGCCTTTGCATTTTGAGCCAGGTGTGTCTCGAACTTCATCCTTGATTGGCGGATTTATGCGATGGCTTTACTTTAAGCAGTGTTATATAATTTCCTGGTCTCAGAAGTTTCAAGAGTGGCAAACAGGTTCCAACATTTGTGTTTACGTCTGAGTAACTTACGAATCTCTCGGTTTATCCAAGGGGGGAATGTTTCCGACCCTTTGGAACAGACCAAGGGATGAAAGGTACAGTTACTTGGGCGTAAAGTTGCTTAAATTGGTTCCATGCGGCTTCTACTTGGGACTCTGGATTGATGTACCAGTTTACTGAGTTGGCTGCTGAGACGATCGCATTTATGTCAGCTTTCCAAACGTTTGGTCGAGCTGGGGTTTTGGCCCTTGCTGCCGTTGCTGTGAACTTGAAAGTGAGCACAGCATGGTCACTTCTTCCTAACGGAGGAAGATGTTGTATGAGATCCACATCCTCACCGTGTGAGAACACTAGGTCCAGAGTTGACGAGGAGTGCTGTGAGTCATAGCGCGTGGGCTTAATGATATGTTGGACTAGGGCTAGCGATATACTAGATTCTAGCAGTTTATGATCAAAGGAGTTGACTGAAGATGGAGTTGTTAGGCTCGACCAGTCAACTGTTGGGGCGTTGAAGTCGCCGACTACGAGACTTCGACATTTTGAAGTCCAGGAGCCTAGCTTCTCTATTAGGAAGTCGTCTGCACTGCAGTCAGGACTGCGGTACACAGCAATGAGGTCAATGTCTTGGCCTATGCATTTAAGTCTGCAGCGTAGAAGTTCGCACGACTCACTTTCGTGGGCGAGTGCTTCGATACTACGCACGGTTAAGCCTTTCTTGAGGTAGATGACTACGCCACCTCCTTTGCGGTTTAGTCGGTCTACCCTGTGCACTTCGAAGTTTGGCAGGTTAACTTCGTTGTCAGTGACATCGGGTGTGAGCCATGTCTCTGTGATAATAATTACATCCGGGTTTCCGGTTTCTATCATGTTAGCCAGCTCAGTCCTTTTATTTAACAGGCTGCGGGCGTTTGTGTAGCAAACTGTTAATTCAGATTGGTGCTTTCCCGGCCCACCCACAGAGGTTTCGGGATCATTAAACTGCGAACTCGGACAACCCGAAAACCCTTAATCTTAAGGTTCTTTTCACCGTTCCGGCGTCGCTCGCTTAATTCTAGTGCGGCAGCCTGTCTTTTGACACGGTCTGCTAGGCTTAAGTCGGCGCGGACATATATCCCTGATCCTTTGAGAATTTGAGAGTTGCTTAGAATAGCATCCCTCTCTGCTTTAGAGTTTAGTACGACTTTAAGGAGACGTACAGGCTGACTTACTGTGGGTTCAGGCTTTTGGACTATTCTGTATACGCTGTGTATAGTAATGCCTGATAGCATTTGTGGCAGTAGCTTGTCAAAAAGGGGCTTGACCAAGTTAAGGTCATGCTCGAATCTGGCCTTAGGATCGAGGGCCAGTGACTCCTCTTCTTTGTGGAGAAGGAGAGACCTGTCAGAGAGATCGGGTTTGCTTTCCGTGACTTTCTTGCTCTGAGACGTAAGTGTGTTTCTATCCTTCTTGGGCGGTGTAGCCGAAGTGTTATCTTTATCTCGCTTTTTGCGAGAGACTACACTGCGCCATTCATTGGCGTCCTCTTCGCTAATCGTAATGGGGTTCGTCTGTCTGCTGCTCACCGGTGTGAATGAGGCTTGTTCCGCCAGTCCTTGGGCGGCTGGAGCTGCAGGTTTTCGACGCCTGATACGCCTCTTCTTCGCGGCAGTCTTTCCATTACTGTCACTGGAGGGCTTATCCAGTATCGTGGGGGCGACCTGGGTGTCTGGAATGTGGTGGGTGTTCTTCTGTGCTGTAGAGCACTCACTTATTGGCAAGGTCGCATCGGGGACATGTGCTGTTTTGTCAATGACGCTAGTCACGTCATCGTTATCTGAGCAATAGTCGGTATTCTTCTGTGTTGGAGGACGCTTGCAGTCCATGAGCTTTAAAGCCCCACTAAGAGTAGCAATGGCTTCTGTAATACGGAGTTTAGTTGTACTACAGCAGTCGTTGCACAACCAGTTTGCTAGAGGTTTGCAGCAGCGTTTGTATGCTGCTGGAGTAAGGTTCGTGCACATACTGTGAAACCATCTCTTGCAGTTATCACACTGCATTCCCTCATCCACTGGAAACTGGCACATAGCCCTTCCGCAGCACACAGGCAGATAAATCGTTTCCGGAAATCGATTAGTTGCACTTAAACAATATATTTCTCACAAGATTAAGGAATTTTCTCCCTTTTGACAGTTGCACAAAAATGTTAAATTATCAATAAATTGAATGTCTTGTTTTACGATGTCAAATTACATGTACGTACGATTTTAACCTCAAAAGGGTTTCATTATTTTGCGTGGTTTATGGCTGTAACTCGCGTAGCGGTTATCTTGGGGGAAATACTAGATGAGGAGCAGAAACCATCGTTGGTAAAAGATGCCATTCCAGGTGCGTTTATTCATGCCACTTATCGTGTGTTTAGCATTGTATATCATCTACAGTGGCTGTCATAACACCAGCTGTCATACCTAGACATGTGAATTAGTCCTGGTTAGGAACAGGTAGTTATCCAAGCAGAATTTTGAGAAAGGACTACTGTTTAGGATTCGTCTTAATTGATACTGGGAAAATTATTTTGAACTTTTCACACCTGATAAAATCATGCCTAGAAAGTAGGAGGGAATGCGATAAAACTACAGTAAACCAAGCTGCTCGTCAGTGAGCATTAACTAATTCTAACAGTATTGGGATTCTGAGAGCCTTCATTTACGTTCAAAGAATCTTGCTTTGTCATGATTACTTTGGTTTGTTGTAGCTTGATCACATTTCTTCCTACCTGCCTGACCTGCAGCATTTTCATGAAAAGTTCAATCTCACTTTCCAAGTACCCATGCAGACCAACCGAAAACACCAATGACTAACCTTAACTTTCTTCCAGTCTTGTTTGAAAAGCGACGATTCATTTCATGAGTTATTAGTGACTGAAATATATTCACGTATCGCTAGTCTTAAATCCTGACTTCTTCACTCTAAGTTGATAGGCATAGGATCTCCCGTTGACCCTTTTGCATCGTCTAGGCATCGGCTTGTGAAGATTATGACTATGTCATATAATACCCTTTCAACAGGAGGATATAACTACACTAGGCCACATTGTAAAAAAGTACTTTGTTACAAAACGTTAGCTTACTGGATATGTGTAACATTTATTGTTTTTTACATAATGTTTTCTACCAGTAACCTATTACTACAGGTCGTTACATTTCTCAGCTAAGTAACTGTACAACTCAACTGACTGGTGCCAAGTTTTTACTCACTGGCCTATAACGCTCACTTGATTGAGTAGTCATGCTATGGATAGGATGAGATTCTGATGAGACCCTCTGTGTGATGAGGCAGGTAGGCCACATATCTACAGTGGATTACTAAATACGAATATAATAGTATTATGTTGGAAAGAAAAGGGAGAATAATATCTACTGTTAAGTTTTGAAATCGGTACGGTGGTGAACAGGTATAATATTACCGCTGGTTGATTTTGACCAATTTTACTAGGTACCTCTTGTTGTTAATTCTTAGTTTTCTGATAACCCCACTTAGTGCGTTCAAACTTGACTACACACCAGAGACAAAACGTTAGAAATCTCATGAGCTCGCAGTGTGTCATAGCCTGGATATCCTTAGATTTCTTCTAACTCTACTGTTATTTATAATTCCTACTCAATTTCCTTTTTCCTCTTCTAGGTTTAACCAGCTGCCCATCGGATTTGCTTGCCAAGTTCCAGTCACATTTAAATGGATTAACAAGCAATCAGCAATGTTCACTGGAGTGTAAGTCAATCCTCTGATATCATTCCTGTGAAGAGGGGCAAAATAATGCTTTCTTTGTTATGGTTTTTATCCTTTTACTATTTAGCATACTGCTTTATACTGTTCCATTCCTGTTCACATTCATATTTTATCCTTCGAACCGTTGTGACTAAATTCGCTCGCAGTTACGACGTGTGTATTTCCAAACGAGCGTTTGAAGTTGGCCATTTACATACTTATCTACTGTGGACAGTTTAAATCGATGTTGTGGTGAATCAACTGAGGTGATCAGGCCACGTGTTGTGCATGTCTAGCCGTTATCTTCCTCTATGGGCGATATTAATTGACATAAGATTGGGTTAGAAAAGAATTAAGGTAGTCAAACGAAAACAATGCATCAGTTCATGAAATCTTTGAGCCACGTAGGGAGCCCAATATCCCATTCGAAATCCAAGGGAACAATGAAAAGTAATAATAACACGAGAGGCTCAGGCAACATGGTTGAAATCCTCGGGATACTAAGAACCAGTGACTGGAGATACGGCTCAAAATCCTTCTCGAGGACCCAGATGCATTCACTGGTTGGGATCTTCCATATCCATTCAACTCATGTTTTGTCATGTTACTATTTTTTTTCTTTCTGTCGCCCATTGCTGCTCAATAAAGTTTTTCTTCCCTCTTTTCTGTGGCAACCCGAACTGGTGAACTCTGTTAGGCTCATTCAGTCAATGTGCCCGTAATAACTGAGTAGTTGTAAAGTGTACCCGAAACAAATAATAAAGTATACAGACAGTGTTTCTGAGATGGTGAAGGGTAAATTAAACATCAAGTGAATGAAAAAATCGTAAAATTGGTTAAAAATCAGGGTGGGAAACAAGAGTAATCACAATTATTCAACAAAGATCAGGTTTAAGGTGTTCGTAACCTAGGCTTCAACAAACCACCTTGGTTAGGAGGAAGTTTCTACTGTTTTCTTGAATGATCAAGAAATATCTGTTAGCCATACTGTTTCTATAGAAAGTAGATTGCGTGCCGTTTTGTCAATTCTTCTTCACCAACAACTTAAGATTAGCACGGGACTTCGATTGTCTTTACCTATTCACGCAATTGTGCAAGGGAAGTATGCAGTTTGCTATCAATCATATGTTTATGTTATTAGTTACATACTCTTAAATCACCGTTTATGTGATGTCCTCTTTACAACGATAAGATTATCTTTTTGCTCGTATACAAGTCGTTATTGATTCGAACTATAAATGATAGCCGTGGATCTGTTTCATTTCCAGCCAATAATTTAGTATTATCACTATGTTCTGTTTTCTCTCTTTCAATATATTTGAAGTATTTTTTTATTATTGTCCAGTTCTTCAAGGTAGGCGGTAAGGGAGTGTTGCTGAAAATGTTATGAGGAAGGACAATGATAGCTTTTTAAATAAAGTCTCAGGGAAGACAGTAATATGGAAAAACACCTACCTTAAGTATTAATCCCCATTATCTTCACGTTTGAGGTATGCCAGATATTTTCAAATCCTGCTGATCGTTGTTCGAAGCTAACAGAAATTCGTGAAATGCTGGTGTTATATGCACTGTAAATCTGTTTTTCCAAGATTGTCGTAGATATGTGCGTGTGGCTCATTGGCTTAAACACTTTATTTTCAGTCAGTAGGTTGTGCGGCTTCAAACTCCGCTTCAACTCAACTATCGGGAACAAATTTCGTATATACGGTTGTGAGGTGCACTCTTTTACTGTGATGGTTGATGATACTACCTAGTTGCCGGGGCTGACTAAGGTCAACCAAGACTTGATTATTATATTCATAAAACTCAAACTTGCCACGTTATTAGCACCAAGAGATTTGAAGGCTGGAGTACTACCTCGAAATCCAGTTCAGGTGGTTGTGTTATGTAGTAGCCTTTGACTTGAAGCTTCATCGACACGGCAGTAGAGCTGCTTTCCCATAGTTTCAGGTGACCAAAACAGGTTCATACACCATTAAGTCCGTTCGGATTTTGGAGCTAATGTACACCATAGGTTTGGAATTAGGGGTTTTCCGCTCCTCTAGGTAGAAGTGCTTGTTCACCATTCCGGTTGCAAGCGCCGAACGTTCAAACGTGCCCTTCGACTTTTGTGGAGAACACCTACGCAATGTGAATGCAGTGAATAGGACTTTCTCGGCAGACGCCATGGGAGCATTTTGAGACGAGGTTTATTAGGCCGATCTAGACTTGGACGCAAAACCCACTAAGCTGAAAGTCGACTACTTACTTTACTTTACTTCGGCTATCCTACGGGAGGATGAGCCGGCTTCATGGACATCTCGAATCATCGCTGCCCAGGCGCGGCGATCTGATGCAAGGTTTTGCGACAGGGTTATCCAATTCTTGTTCCACAGACGGAGTCCGTAGACGGTTTGTAGCCCCAGGCACTCCATATCAGCCTTGACTGTACCAAGCCATGTTTTCAGCTGTCCACCCCTGCGATATCGCCAAGATGGAAATGGCGAGGGATTTAGAACTGATTCGACCAGCTCGTCACCTGGTCGGCGCAGAACATGGCCAAACCACCGAAGGCGACGTTGTTGGACTAGTACTGGAATTTGGTTGATGTTGTAGAGAGTTCATGAAGTTTCATGGGAATTAGTTACGAGTGATGTCCCCAGCATCGCTAGGCCTTTTGTTTGAGAGTGCAGCTCTAGCCTTAACACAACCAAGTGTGACCTACAAGACAGTAGGAGTGGAGTAGGGAGTCCACTATCCATTGGCAGCCGGTGACCGGAGTCCGGTTCATACGCCTTTTGAATGGGGTCAGTCATCCAGGGCATCCAATAAGCCCTTTGTCCATACGTCTGCCGGTGAGCTTCATACGCCAGTCGTTGAAGGTTTGGAATCAGGGTTTAGCCATCTCCCCTAGACTGTCATCCAATGGACAGTCAACCCGGTGAAGAGCGCCGGGCATCCGCTTTTGCCCTCTCACTTCGGTGAAAAACACCTCCGCCACGTGAAGGCAGTGAGTAGGACTTCCTCAGGAGAGGCTATGTAAGACGCCCGGTCATATGGGAGCATTTCAAGAGGTGTACGGAGGGGTGGCCAACCCGCAGCACAAGGCACCCACCCCCGACCATCCTGAGTCTTTGGAGGCAAGCTGATGAAACACATCACACTGGCTGGTTTAGTTAGGTGTGCTTTATGGTGTTTATCATTGTTAGAAAAGCGAAACGCATAAAGATTTCAGTGTTAGCCACTCGACGGTTTGTTGAAGTTATATCTTCCATTCTTTACAACAAGATTTCAACCTTCACTCAACCTTATTAGGTGTTATGATAAGACTTCGTATATTAAATGCGACTCTATGTAGTAAACGAAAGTTGTTTCGAATATTTTAATTATACTTCATGAAATAGTCCTCATTTCTCTGATATGCTATTTCGGCTTATTTTCCTAAATTTATTTAGGCATCTTCTGTCATCAGAGTGAAGATTTCGAATTTCGAATACTGTGTCGTCCTTCATTGTCTGGAATTACATCACTTTTGACAAGTTACTTAGTCCCACCGAAAAAGCCTGACGTTGCCCTGAATGTTATTCTTATTTATGCTGGTTTATTGTCCGAGGGATCGGCTCATTGGTTGTTACCCAATTGTGTACTGACGCCTGCATTCTTAGTCGACTTCATTCATCATTTGTCGACGCTTCATCCTAAGTCGGTAAGTTATTATATGCCGCTGAATATTATATTACGGTTTTGAGTGTGTCTAACAGGTTTGAAGTTGTAATGCAACATCGATTGAGATGACTAGGTCATGTATTTCGCATACTGATCCAACGCCCTCCTCGATGAGTAATGTTAACCGACACTGAATAAGAATTAGGGATGGTTAAACCGAAACATGGAATCAGTCGATTAAATCTTTGATAGTTAGTTTGAACCAGCCACGTAGGTAGAGATGTAGACTGGCTGGCTGTCTGGTCGGGGTCCTCGGTATGGTAAGAACCAACGACTGGTAACAGACAATTGGAGATATGGCTTAAAATCGCTCTAAATGGGAGCGAAAAGATGCACTTTTTGAGATTTGCCATATCCAATAAAAGCAGTAAGACTCTATTGTTCATCCATATTACTACTATTCTTTTTCCCTCACTCACACTTCTGTTTATTACCTCTTTGTCTTTTGAATCTCTGTTTACTGTCTTCTGTTAGTTTGTGTGCTTTGAGGAGGAAGTGTGGTATGTTGTACTGATGCAGTTGTATGCAAAGTTTTATGTTGAAAGCAGGCAGTCAGTTAGTGAGTCAGGTGTTAGCCGCATCAAGCTGCTTATCACGTTTTAAAATTATATTTCATCGAGTTTTATCGTTTGTTTCTGTCTTTCGTTATTTGTTATCTTTTTTTTATTACTGTAACTGATAAATCTTCATTATCTGTTTTAGGATGATGCAGAAAATCAACCCTCTCCAAAACCCATTCGTCTTCATATTGGTATTGGAGGTGTTACATCTGGTGGGGAATGGCGTCAGTTGGTTAATACACCACCACAGTCTATTGGAGGTCATACATTCCAAGTAACAGTTAATCGTTGTCGTACAACAACAAAAGCTAAAGGTCATGGGCCTACAGATACTACTTCTCCGTCTGGTAGTACATTCGGTTAGTGTACATTTTTCCCTTTGTAACTTGTTCAGTTGAATATCAGTCTGATGCTCACTAGCAACTGGCCCTATTTCGCTAGGTAGTTACCTGGGGTCTATTGGAAAGTCGTGACCAGTGGAGTACAGCAGGTCCGGCTGATGTGAGGACAAATACTCACCACCGATGGCATTAGTTACTGCAAGTCGGGTTATGTCGTGAACTGTTGGTTGGAGCTGGGATTCATGAGCTGACCACTGCAGAATTGAGTCAGCTACTATTGACTGCTTCACGTCCTAGGAGCTCGCCTTGTAACTGGAAGGTCTGGTTTTCTGTCTGTCTGTCTGTCTGTTTTCGACATAAAACTTTGCGCAAATGTGCGGAAGTTCAAGTCGCCACATTCCGTGTAGCACGCGAAGCAAGAGAAGAAAGTACAAGAAAAGCATAATAGAAACGGTGAGGTCTGGTTTTGAATCCCGTTGGTGGATGCGTACTGACTAAGAGTCTGGAACTAGATTAACGAAACAGTTGACTGTTGTCCAGTACTCCCAGGTGGTTTTTCAATGATTCTCTAACCGTTGTCAGCTCCTGATGAAATCCTATAAACAGTCAAATCCTTGCTAACCAGCAATTAAATATTCAGTAACGGTTAGAGAATCTATAAAACACACGGGGAATTATTTACCTGGATAGTGTTCACACTCATGCAGTTCACTAGCGACGAGTTTCACGACATAGTGTGAGTACGTCGGCAGATGTGTTAACACTAGGTACTGGTACCAGTACTTAAGGTGCCTGCCTCTCTTGATTCACTTGCCTAATTCATAACAGTTTGTAATCAGCGAAGTAAAACAGCAGCGTATTTTGTTGTGAGGTTGTAAGTATAGTGAAATTCAATTGCATGGCTTCTTCAATGGCTGTTATGCTTCAACAGCTGGATTTGAATAGTTTCCAAGTTGGCTTTTTAGTCAGTTATTTTACGTGACAATGGGGAAACAAACCGTACTCAGCTTCTATATGATGATCTCTCACGTTAAGTACACCACAACAGAGAGCTGATTGAAGCATTTGAAGGAAAGACAGGCATAAGACAAGGCCATCTGATGTCATCGATTATCTTGCTTACTGTGGTCAACTGCGTCTTGCAACAGACCGTTTGAAGTGAGAGAGAGACATTCGGTGGACTGACAAAAAGCGTTAGAAGATTTGGATTTCGAGGATGATTTATGTCTAGTGTCGTAAACATTTGAATATATACAGGCGAAAACCAACAAGCTGACAGAAGTGGCAGTTAGTAAAGGCAGAATTATAAGTGAATATATAGAAGACAGGTGATTATTTATGTATATATATATATATCCCATCGACCAACAACAATGTCTAAGTCACTATCGATAAGAGAAATTTGAAGGTAGTCACTACTTTTATCTACGCAGCGTCGTTTCAACTATAGGCGCGGGGGTGGCACGTATGAGGATGTCAAAGGCGAAGATCAGAAAAGCAAGACAGATATTCACTAATCGAAAATCAATGTGAAATTCTTCCGCGATTCGCATTAGGAACATAATTAAGATTCTCAGCACTGTTGTTCAATCTATACTTCTATATGGTTAGGATCAGAGACTTGAAACATCACCAGAAGTATTTTTAACAACCTAATCCAGATTTTTATCACCAGTTGCTTTCGCTCAATACTGAAGTTCGGATGACTGGGAAACATCACCGACAAGAAACTCTAACACCGAAACAACCAAAAATTTATTGCCTAAGAAATATGCAAAAAGAAATGGAGGTGGATTTTACATACTCTGAGAAGACCATTTGAGTGATATTGCGTGCAAAGCTTTCTAGTGGAACCCAGATTAGATACAGCGAATTAAGCATCTGAGGATGACATTGAAGGAAGTCGTGGGAAGGGGCGATAAGACGCTTGGCAGACTATCGAGTGGAACCTGAACGGTAGCACTGAGTCCATATTGGGTCTAAAGTTGACACACAAATGACCATATGATGAGAAAACAAAAGGTTGTTAGCCATTTCGGCACCAGCTATAAAAGTGAGAACAGAAAACGTAGTGGAGTTTAGATGTGTTACTGAAATGGTATGTTCCGTTCGGAACACAAGGAACACATACTAATCATATGATTTCTTGTCACACATACGTGACCAATTAGTCTGTGGAAAAACGTTATGGAGATTGAACTGATGGGTATCAAGTTTCAATGAGAATAGCAATCATTGGGGAGCAGCTACACCCAGATGATGAGCCCCGGATAAGACGAAATACCCATTTTGGATTCTAATACTGCCTACCACCAATCATATAAGAAGGAGCAGTTTATTTAGTTAAGACGTGGCGCATTGGCTTCACACTCCGCTTTCATTCGATAAGTCTCAGGTCGGAATCTGGTTCCACCTCCCATAATCTAGTCAAGTAGGTTGTGTCACCAGCCCTCACATACAGTAACTTTGGCTCATAGCCCGGTATACGATAAGTGATTTCGAATAGCTAACTCGTCGGTGCATGTTCATGCTTTTACAAACATCGGTAATGTTTCCCCTTTTTTATTGTCCATATACCATATAGTTACTGTTGAACTTTATCATTTGTATATTAAATATTATTGTTCCCTTGGGTTCCGAGTGAAACATAAGGCTTCAACAGTACGTGTCTCCACTTCGTCCTACTCTCTGTGGTCCTCTTTACCTGGTTGCACGATTGCCCATAATTTCTCATCTCCTGCATGTCACCCTCGGAGAAACATGCAACTTGTCGTTTCCCATTCGGATTCCACACTTACAGATAGCCTGGCGAACGATGTCATCTGACAGTCTCGTCAGCTTGTGCCGATCCATCTTCATATTCTTCGGAATATATATGTTGAGCATTAGATTTTTGATGCCACTTCTTTCTGGTCATTTAATCTTCAATAAGGTGGGGGGGCAGCAAATGGAATAAGCTGTTGATAAAAGTCTTCAGTCACCTGTTGGAAATGCTTTTCAACTGTATTGTATTATGCCTTATAATTTTATCGTGTAATTTTCAGTTGAAAGAATTTTCTGATCTGAATTATCCTCTTTTTCTTCTTAAATACGTATGTATATATATGTACAGATTTCGAAAGTTTTCTATGCGATGTAATGTCAAAACTGCCAGATCCTTATTGTCTACCTCTTAGTCAAGCGTTGACAACGCGTTCACCAACTGATCCTACGATTAAAGTCTCCAAACCATGCATTTATGTATTTCCTGAAGGTTCTGGACAAGCGTCTATATTAGCTTTACCAGGTTATAATATGTTAATCAATGGAGGGTGTAGTTACAAGCCATGTTTTTGGTCTGTTGCTAATTATCTTGATAGGTAAGAAGGTGTACAAATTTATTATTACTGTTCTACCTTTTCTGTTATTGTTGCTGTTGTTGATGATGATGTTTTTTATGTTTCCGTTAAAGAAAGAACCCCGGTGGGTACGTACTGATAAAGAGTCAAAAACTAGGACGAACCAACTGTCCAGTACTCCTCCCAGGTTTTCCAGTGGTTCTTCAACTGATTTCAGCTCATGATGTAATCCTCCATGCAATTAAAGAAAGAATGATCAGATTTGCAGTATAAAATGTGATATCATCATTCTGTTTTTTTACAGGTCTTCATCAGCTGCTGTAGAATACCTGGAATTACATTAGTTGTTATAATAGAATGATGATAATATACTTCAGTGTTTCAATGGTAGAAGAGAAAACATAAAGTCAACGCATCCGATATATACATATGCATAACAGTTTTAAGACTAAGTTACCATCACTTCATGTGCTTTCAAAGTAGGAAAGGAGGTGGGGAGAAGACACAAAGCAGAAAACTCTGATAAACAGTGTTAACTTATAAGTTCACATAACACAACTCAGAAAGCTCATCTGTCTGTCTGTTTTTGACATATAACTTTGCACTGATGTGCACCAGTTCAAGTCGCCACACTTCATGTACCACACAAAGCAAGAGAAGAAAGTAGAAGAAATGCATAGTAGAGACAGTAAACAGAGGTGTGAGACAAAGGAATAGTAATAACGAAGAACAGTATAGTTTCATTTGAATTCATAAATCACAAGGAGTGGATGCATCTGCGCCATTGAGAACGATTCTGTGCCATGTCACCAATTGTTTCCAGTCATTGGCTTTTACCGTCCTGAGGACCCCAACCAGTCAGGAAGTCTACACCTTCCTATGTGGCTGGCTTAAACTAACTGTTGTGGATTTCATTGACTAGTGAAGCCATGTTTTGGTTTGACGGCCGCTAGCTCTTTTCCAGCCTGACCCTTTGTCAGCTAACATTGGCCGTCGAGGAAGGCGATGACATGTCCTAACCATCTTAATCGGTGTAGCTTCACAGCCTCGTCGATTAATTTCCCCTCACTACTTACCTAGCACTCGACCGACGCCTAACCTCAATATTGCTCACCTTATTATACCACTTCAAACGGGAGATAGAACGCAGGCACCTATTATCAAAGCTAATCTTTTCATATCTTCCACTCTAAATGGCCAGGTTCCACAGCCATATAGGAGGACGGAGCGACTGATGAGCAGTACACCCTCCCTTTGGTCGATAGTCAGTCGGATATCTCGTCTAGACCAGGGAATGTCGTAAACTGGCATATGCGAAACTAGCCCTCTGTATCTGTGCTGAGATTTCGTTAGTGATCAACCCGTTTGCGCTGGCTGATTCAGCTTCCCAAATAAGTGAAGCGGTCAACGTCCTCTACCACTTCACTCCCTATTTCTGATCTAGGAGTCGGTGTAGTCCAGTCCTGCAACATCATTTTGCATTTGGCGGTAGCGATCGTATGCCAAACATTCGTAGCTCAAGGTGTTCAGAAGACCATGTCTGCATTTTGTCGGCGTCCTCACCTAGAAGGACTATATCGTCTTCATATTCTAAGTCAACAAGATTATTCCCTGGTAGCAAGTGGATCCCTGAGTCTCTGAAGTAAGGAAGCTCATAATTCATAAGGGTGAAATTCGCTCCGTGACGTGAAATCACTAATATGAATGATTAATTAGCGTAACTGAAATGCAGTTATCAATGAAGCGAGAGGTTGACTACACTTTCTTTTTGTATCCTGCATAAGTTAGGTTTGAAATGTTTGATTGCAATTGCTTCAGCAAAATGTAGGGAATTTCGGTGTCCTTGTTTGTATGTTTAATATTTTGGATGAAATGACTCGCCATCTACAAGGCGTCTGTTAATTTCACCGCACGAATACCTACTTCCACTTAGGTATACCTTTCTTGGGGTATTCTCAAAAAAAAAACTAGATGGAATGTCTTCTTTCTATCCTTCCAATGCACTTGCTTCCTCAAGTGCGCGTAAATTTATAAACACAGTTAGAGGTGACATCAGAAGGCTATTTGCCCCAGTTTAGATTGGCTTATTGAGTGAACGTAAGAAGCTGTATAATGTATAATGATACGAGTTTAGGTCACAAAGAAGCTTCCTTCCACTGCTCCATTTTATTTGTTTTTTGAGTTCTTCTGGATTTTCCTTTTGATTTGAATGGAAGGCAAATAAAGATAAGATTTTTCTTTTTTTTTGTCTTCTCCTGTCTCCACCACTCGTTTTCGACTCGACTCTCAAAGGCATATAAATCGATGGTAACTTAAACTAAACATTGTGGTGCTTACACTTTTAATGCTTTAATTATTTTTATACCATTTTCTCTACTATCACTCAAACATTAAAGTATGTCATAGTCATTTTTTTCTAACCATTTTAATTTCATGTAGTGGTCTGCAGCTGATGAAGACCTGTAAATAGAATGATGCTATCACATTTTATACTGCAAATCTAGTCTTTTTTTGCTTTATCGAAACTTATAAAGGGAACCAAATGTATGATATTTTTTGTTAGTTCTTTTCTGTCGTCTGTCAATTAGAAGAAGTATGGGTGTAACCTGACTGACTACTTATATATACTCTCAACTGACTAACCACACCCCTTGTCTAGGAAAACACTCTCTGCTATAGTAATGTAATTTTAACCAAATTTCCTTAGTATTCATAATTTTAGGGTATATCACACAGTGAAACAGTATTTATTATTACTGGATGCAGAAATAAAAATGGCTCGTATTCAAACGACCCACAAATTCAGTTAGATAGAAACAAGCTTTGTCGGTTAAAGGGTCGATCCGGTGGAACAGCCCATTAAACAAAACAATTTAGTCCTTTTAATACACTGCCCTCAACGACTTTCAGGTCAAAGTAGTATAAGCAGGGGGGGCAGTCAGGCTAGCCGAGTATAAAAACCTAGCAAAATCTAGATTAGTTGACCCTAGTAAAATAAGAAATCTGAAGAATAGTTCAACTACGGGACTCACTACATGCAACTACGCACAAACACACTAGTAGGATGGGATAAGGTGGCAGTTCTAAAATCTAATATAAAACTGAGTGGAAGGAGAGATTGATAACAAGGGAAGCTTTATCTTATTGAATCAACTAAAGAGAGTACTTTTAGTAGGAATGGTTTAACACCTGTCTAACCGGATATCTGGCAAATTCTACTTCCTTCAAGACAACGAATAGGAAGGAGTAATGAAAACTATGAAACTGAAGTTTTGAAGTTGTGCAGTACATATGTTGTTTGGTTAACGCATAGCTGGATGTCCCGTCTACGCCAGAGACGGCGTAAACTGGCATATGCAAAACAAGCCATGTGTATCCGTGCTGAGATTTCGTCAGCGACCAACCCACCGGAACTGGCTGATATGATTTCCCAAACAAGTGAAGTGCTCAGCATGCTTAGCCACCACTTCACTTCCTATTTCTAAGCTAGGAGTAAGTCAATGTAGTCCAGTCAGTCCTGTATCATCATTTACATTTGGCGGGAGCGAGTTGCATGCTAAACATTCGTAGATTGCAGGCTTTGAAACCAGATTATGGAGGTTTAGGCAGCGCACATCAGCCAGACCACACATGAGTCACGCCCGGTGAGTCTTCTACCACTGAAGTACCGACAGTGTGCGCGTGTGCGTGTATTTTATTTTATTTAAACGAAGAAAAAAAGCTTGATACTCAGGATAGTTTGTTTTATTTCATTTGTTGTGTGAGGGCTGAGATACTGCCCGGGTGCCTAGACCGAAGCAGGTGTTTTTCTTAAGACACCACCCCTCCAGGCCTTTGACTTGGAGTCTAATCCACAAGACAGCGGAGCAGCGTCAGGTACTGCATTCCCATGATTGCCGGTGACTCATATGGGTTCATACGCTATTTGATCCCACTGGATTCTGGAGCCCATTTACCCCATGGTAACCGCTTCTACTCTAACCGCTATCCAAACAACCTTCCTGACATGGTAGGACCTGCAGGGGCATGAGTCCCAGCCAGTTTAGGTTGTTGAATCATTGCGGTATTCAAGCCCGACCATCACGGCAAGGTAGCAGTTGTCAGCCGGTGTGTGTGTGTCTATTTGTGTAGTTTACTTTATTACGCCTATTCTGTATGGGTCATTCTTCCGATTGGAAAATAAATCCTCTCTCAGTTCAAGTGATCTTAAGAATTAAAACATTTCATCATATAGTATAAATGCTCTATAATCAATTATTATTATTATTGTTTTTTAATTATATTAAATGTTTTCACACCTCTTAATGAAAATTGATTTACCCACTCTAGTAATTCTTTGTAGTTGTCACACAAACTTACAACACTTTTGTGCGTTTGTATGCTACAATTATGTAGAGTTTACTTGCTTTTTCATTAAAAAATTGTATTTTCTAATTTGTCTTGAGGAATACATTTAAATTAGATTTGGTTTCTTTTACTTTGATTAAGTATTCGCCTAGAGAGAGAAAGAGAAAGCTAGAGATGGCTTTTAGTGTTCCTTCCTTACTCTCGGTCTTCACTTCTCTTTGTATAGGGTGTGTGTGTGCGTGTTGCGTGTAGCTGTTTGTTCCGTGAAAACTTTTTGTGTGTTTACCCCCCCCCCCCGCTACATTTTCGGTAATTTGCCTGATCTTCTTGTTTCCCATTCGAAATTAAGAAGAAAAAGATGAGATTATTTAATGTCAAAATCAATACACAGAAAGGATTTGCATCTTTGAGAATGAGTATATAGGTGTAATGAATGATTTCCTACTGCCTTTATCCACTGTATCATACTTGTGTATGTTTGTGTGTTTCTATGCAGTTTGAAACTGAAATTGTGAAATTACAGACATCGGAACTGAAAACGAAAACAAACCAACACATATATATGTTTAATATATAAAATATAAAGGATGAATTGTTGAAGTCTATTGTTGGCTTCACATATGTCAAACAACAACTGCAAAAGAGACAAGTTACTGATGTTATGCTTTTGTCTGGTTTACACTGGGAATCTATAGGCTTTTGTTTTATTGTTGTGTAGTTAGTTCCATTGACTTTCAACCAGTGTGTGTGTGTATCCCTTGGTTCGAGTCCTGCATTGACTACTGCATTGCCCCACAGATGTATTCCGGGTGCGATGGCATTGGTGGGGGGGGTGATAATTAAGTTCTACCAACTGTGATATACACGTCGTCGACTATAATTCTAATAGAATTGATTCAATGTAATTTCGGCGTCGGTGGCATAGTGGTTAGGACGCTTGCCGACCATTCACATGGTCCTTGGTTCGATTCCCGGTCACAGACTCACTCCTTTACCTAGCTAAGCCAGTAATAAAAGCTGGTAAAGAGGAAAAGGTTGGGTATGAGGCTGACAACCTTATCCTGTAAAAAATTAAACACTGCTACAGAAACTTCCAGCTACTATCTTAAGGCCCTATGTTCCACTGGGAACGTGAAGGAAAAAAAATGATACATTACGTTCTATCTCCTGTTTTTTGGGTAGTATAATAGAGTGAGTAATATTGGGTATGGTTTAGACTTCGATCGAGTGTTAAGTAAAGAGAGAGAGTCAGTCGATTGTGAGGCTGTTAGGCTATATTGAATTAGATAGTTAGGATGCGTGTTATGCGTCCCTAGCTTATCGCCTCCCTCGAAGATATCAATGTTAGCTGATATAAGATGGTTCAGGTTGGAAAAGAGCCAATGATAATCGAACGAAAAGCTGGAATCTTTGTAATCTTTGACAGTTTCTTTTGACTCAGCCTTGTAGAGTGGTGTAGACTACTTGACTTACTGGTGTTGGTATCCTTGGGATTCTAGAACACATCGTTATGGACCAACAGAGATATGACTTGAAATCGGTCTCAGTGGCAAAGATGCATTTATTTATTCATTCATTCACTCTTTGTGGTCTGCTATATCCAAAATATATCGATACAGATCAGAAACTTGGCGGGTGGGTCACAAAGAATATTTCCAACAGCCTGTTGCAGACCTTTATCAACCAACAACTGTCTTCGCTCTATTCTGAAGATCAGATGACCGGAAAGAATCACCGACAAGAAACTATGGTAACAAACAAAACAAGAACCAATCGCCAACCAACAAGTATGCAGGAGAAAGTGGAGATGGATCGAACATTCGCTGAGGAGACCTCTGGGTGACATCGCGCGCGTCAGGCCATTGCTCGAGTGGAACTAGGCCGAAAGGGAAGTGGCGAGTGGGACGTCAGTGGGAGGGTGACATGGAGGATATTGTTTGAAGAGGAGTTGAAAGAGTATGGACTAACATGGATGCAGATGAAAAGTACAGCAGACGACAGAAGCAAGTGAAGACGTAGAGTTGAAGTGTTCAACTAGAAACCCAAGGGAATAATAATAATATCCAAAATAATCCTGTTGCTTTCTCATGTTATATTATTCCCTAACCATCATATTTCTGCTTATCATCGTTCTTTTGAATCTCTTTTGGTTTTACTCTTTTGTCTTTCTTTTGTATGATATGGGGAGTATGAGAACTCGAACTTCTGCATTTGTGTGCATTGTTGTTCTATGTTGAAATCAGTCAAGTCAGGAATACACTAGAAGCAGTACAACTGGTTACTGAAATATTATTTTCTTACAAGTTTAGGTGCTAAAGTAGTAGTTTTGGTTTGAGTACTATCCAACCCGAAAATAGTACACTATCTGTTTAAGTGTGCTTTTAAAACATTCGATAAGGTGAATTCAGTCAACTGGATCATTAACATATACTTCGGGTGGTTATACCACATCTCACCTGAATGAATTGGGATTATATAAATTTTGGTCACATCTGTTCATGGGATTATTACGCTGTGTAATCAATGGTCTATTGTTCTATCTTTATAAAACAGCTTAAACTTTTCTAACGTTTCCTGAGGATAAGTTATGAATAAATAAATAAAAAAAACATGTGGCATATGTTACAGCTAGTGTTGATGAAAAGTAGTCACTTTTCTATCTCTAATGTTAAATGGTAAGATACTATAGTCACTCACTAATATCGAAGGCTAAGCATAAAGTGTAAGTGTGATTTGACGTGGCTAAGACAATTTGTCGCTTTCCTCGTCGATACCAATGTTAGCTACTAACCATTGTATTGGGTTAGAAAAGAGTTCTTGGGGTGGGTTGGGGAGGGGACTGGAGCTCATATCAAAGCCATGGCCTCAATCCCTGAAGTCCCTCACTGTTACTTTGAGTCATTATGATTGGGGTAGATTGTCTGTTTTTGAGTCTGTGAGACAAAAAAGGAAAATAGAAATAATAGTAATTTACTTTATTTTAAAATAGTCAGCGATTCTCAGTAATTTGTACAATGTTGCATTTCATATACTCAGCAACAACAATTTTGGTTAAGATTATACAAATATTAATTTTTAATATTAATGTCTCCTTCTGAGTTGGCGCTCAGTTATTTTGAAACTCTTCGGTTTAATCTTGATCACAGTTCATATGAACTACAAAATGGATAATAACAAATTCTTGGCGTTACCGGTGACAATAAAGTCAAAAATGTACCGAGTACGAATTTATAACAATAATAATAATAACTAAGATTATAAGATAACTGAAACACTGTCAACATAAAGTACATATATATACATATATATCCTTCACGTTTCCAGTGGAACATAGGGCCTCAAGCTAGTAGCTGGAAGTTTCTGTAACAGTGTTTATTTTACAGGATGAGGTTGCTAGCCAGCCTCATGTCCAACCTTTCATCTCTACCAGCATTATTTCTGGCTCAGTGAGGTAAAGGAGTGCATCTGTGGCCAGGGATCGAACCCCGGACCATGTGCATGGTCGGCGAGCGTCCTAATCGCTATGCCACCGAAGCTTAAGCCATCTCCTGTACCAGGAATCGAACCCTGGCCTTCCACGTGACAGGCGGAGATACTCACCACTTATTTTGCCACTTACACTGTAAATTATAAGTATTCAAGCTCATCATTTCCTCTATCACGTAGAATGCTGATCAAATATAGGGTATCATTGAGTTTCTTTTACTTGGTTGCGTGAGCATATAATCTCCTACAGTGACTTCTAGTCTTACTTGGATAGACTCAACGGGGTGTTAAGAGTTCAACTCTCATATGAATTCAGGTGTCTGTCGACTAAAATACTGATCAGCTGATTTAGTAGCCTACTACTTACCTTTCTGACAGCCCATAATACTCTTCGCAATATGACGTAATCCTTTCTGAGGAGCCTATGAAAGTCTAAGTGGGAGCAATAACAAATAATGTAGAGACTGGGAGATTCCTAATTGTCTTAACTTCTTAACGTAGAAGATTAGACGGGACATTTTCTTAGGAATCGACAAGACTTAGCTTCAATTTCAGTACCGTCTCTATGAGACAAGCATCATGTGAATCAGCAAGTTCGGTAGATTACGTGTATGCCTGAAGGTGAAGTTAACTAATTGACATTTGGTAGAGGGATTAAGGTAAGGTAAGGTAAGACCATTAAGCTGGGACTATTGGTTCAATGGTAGCACATATTAATTCACTCTTCATAATATCCTGAGGCCATCAAACTCTTATGGTTCCCCCCAAATATTTCCATCTGTTATACTTTGTTGGTATTTCTTTTCCATCTTTACGTCATGTGTGCTTTCTATGAGGTGTAGAAAGTTGAATGGTTGCATATTTGTGTTAATGTATTACCCTGGAAATGTAGTTCATACTTTCATCCCTCATGCGTAGTATTCTTTGTCTATTTCACTGGAATATGTTGGGGGTAGGTTACAGATAATGATATGAACTATTAGTGCTTTGCATTCATTCATTCATCGTCAGCCTTTGTCTTTGAGTCTGCACCTACACCTTTATTGGTAAACAAGCTTGCTACGACACAAATACGATACTGAATTTATACTTTTCTGATAGGAGGTAGTACACTGAATATAATGGGAGATCCTCCAGTGCACTTCTCACTCTAACGGGTGTTGCTCAAGGAGCTGCTGTTTTCTTCTTTTCTATTTTCTTTCTTCTTACATGACTTGCTCCATTCTGGCGAAGCCAGTTTTGTTAAGTATGCCAATAATCATCTGACTGTTTCCATGCCAACGGTTACTTTTCAATCAGACTGTTCCAAAATGAATAACTTTTTATTCAAAATTAGTTCAGTAGTTCTTGTCAAATGGCCTTAAGCTAAATCCCACAAAGATATCAGGTTGTTACTTTTATGAATTGGTTCTTTTCGAACGATTTGTACTATCACATGGCACTAAAGATGAAACTTAATCGAATGTTAATTCCCTTGGATTGAGTACTCTTCTTCTGATCTTCCTGGTCATCCCACACCGCTGTTTCAGTTTCTAGAAAGCTTTTTCGTTTAATGTTCTACGTATGGAAGTTAAGACATTCTGTTATCACTCTTGTTAATCCTCGTATTCAGTTTATTCTTCTTTATTGCTCCCAACGCACTTTAATCTTTCCTGGGCTATCTAAGGAAAACAACTAATATCTGACTCTACTAAGACCACTAAAAGCTGTCAGTAGGACGAGTGAAGTGTTGTTGATAGATATATGGACTCATGCAAGAAATTAGCCAATATTATCTTGTCAGACCCTGAGTATCCTCTGTATGCACAGGTCTCCTTCCAGTTCATCAGATAGAACTAGAAGTGATGATAAAAGACTTTATACTCGGATAACTAAGTATTACATGCTGAAAATTTTATATTTATAACAAAGGTACTGTTTGGAATAAAACTATTATGAGTATTATTGTTCCTAATTTACATTTTTCCCCCTCATCATCCCTACAGGTGGTGATATATGCCATTGTAAAACTGTATAAGGGCAGGTAAAGAGAAGTTGTAATTTATTGTTATTAATTATTCAATGACTTTTCTGTTCGGGTTATTTGATAATTTGTCTCCTCTTAAGACTCTGAGTATATTTCTACTAATTTTGTTTAATTTTTTCGCTTATCTTTTTTTTTCTAGCTTAGATTCTGTTTTTCTAACTCACTGGAGTGTTGACAATTTACTCGGTGTCAGTGAAATTCTTCCAACAGTGTTTACACCAAACAACAAGGACAGTAACAACAACAAAAATAGTAATAATAATAAGCAACCTTTTCTATGTTTACTTACACCTCCACCGAATATTAGTCAAACAAAAGTAAACAATACTGGACAACAAGATAGTCAGTTACAATTTCCAATTAATCTACCAATGCATTTTTCTAATATAATTGGAAAGCTGAAACGTGCTGGAACCAATTTAGTGGTTTATCCACTTACTCGTGGTGGAAAACAGTCAGTGTTGCCTAGATCAATACAATTGTTCCAGAAAGTAAGCAATATCTATGCGTTAACCAACATGATGATGAACTTGTAGATGTTGACTTTATATATATATAGGATTTTTCGCGTAATATGTAATTGTCCCTTGTAAGTGATGATGTTAGTTGGGAAAGTAGATCCAGTCAGTGGCGTTTGTAGATGTCTCCAGCAATGCTACACGACAGAAATATGTTCTTCAGTAGGGTTCAGCAGGTCGGGTGTGAGGATAAATACACGCCGAAGACATTGGCTACGAGTTGCACTGTGTCGTGAATTGGCTGAAGTTAGAACTCATGGGCCATTGGATCGGGTCCCAGTGGCTTGATGGTATACGAGCTGTCCTTGTAACCTGAAGGTACTGGGTTCGAATCCTGGTGAGTGCTTACTGCCGAAGAGTCCCAAACTAGGACGGGTGAAACAGCTGTCCAGTACTCCCAGGTTTTCCAATGGTTCTCTAACCAATATTAGCTCATGATGAAATCCTGTAAGAAATATATTCTAACCATCTTGTGAATTTATTCGTCGAAGAACAATGTAATCTAAAAGTAAGTAGCATCGTTTCAACTACAAGTGACAGCATAGATGAGAAAGGGAGAGAGACCTTTGTCACTCTGAAGTCAGTTTGGAAATCTTCAATACTCCTCAGCTTACAGAACAAAATTCTGATTTTCAGTCAATCAGTCACTTCTTCTACATGAGTTAAAAACTTGGCGTGCGTGTCATGAAAGGTGTATTTAACGGGCCACTGGATACTTTTATCAGCAGCAGCCTTCTCTGGTTGCATACTGAAAATCAGATGACCAGCTGCCCAGAAAAAATTATCAATAAAAGACGGATTCAGCGAAGAAAATTTTCTTTATCGACGAAATCATCTTCAGAGGCTGTACAGTCGTATTTATACTTAGAAGAATGTATAGTGGTCTATTATTGAATAATAGGGGGACATAATTAATTATCAATAATAATTATAATTATCAAAAAATTCTGGGGACCACTGACCAACTAAGCACCTGTTTCTCAACAAATGTACTGTAGAAAGTGAAGGTAGATCGGAAAATTGTTTAGGATACCGCTGAGTGACATCACGCGCCAGCCAGATAAGCACTCGAGTGTAACTCGGATGGGAAACGACGGGTAGGGTGTGGCTCTGGGGATGATATGGAGGAGATCGTGTACAATAGAGGGAGAGAGATCTGCAGAGAACAAGGCGAAATGAAGACGCACTGTTGAATCCCTATGCTCCACTGGGGAATTAAGGGAATAATAACAGTCATACAGTCAAGCATATTGCCTAAACTGGTCCCTAATGGTTTTAGGAATAAATAACTACACACTGGACTTCAGTCTATTCTCGTTTTGTGCAGTTCAGTTATCCATGAAACTCTTCTGAGGATAAGCGATTTTGGGCATGTAGGCAGGTGTAGATTGTTAGATAAGGAGGGAAAGTCAATCAATTGCGAGGTTGTTAAGCTATATCGATTAAGATGATTAAGGGACGTTTTACGCACCCTTAGCTATCGCCCTTACTCGACAGTATCCACGTTAGCTGACATAGGATCAGGTTGGAGTAGAGCTAGTTGCGTTTAAACTAAAACATAGTTTTGTCAGTCAATGCAATCTATAACAGTTTGAATCAGCCAGCCACGTACGGAGGTGCAAACTGTCTTCCTGGTTCGGGTCTTCGGGATGATAAGAACCAATGACCAGTGAAGACACAATTGGTGATATAGCTCAAAATTATTCTGAATGGGGTTGGGGAGATGCATGCACTCTTTGTGATTCGTAATATCGTGTTTACTTTTACGAGATGGGATCGCTAGCCTCATGCCCAACCTTCTCTCGTTATCAGTCTTATTACTGGGTTAGCGAGGTAAAGGAGTGCGTCTGTGGCCAGGGGTTGAACCCTATACCAAATGTGTGGTTGGCGAGTATTCTACCACTATGCCACTGACGCACTCTTGCATATTACTACAGTTCTTTTTCCCTCGCTCACACTTCCGTTTATTATCTCTGTGTCTTTTGAATCTTTGTTTACTCTTTTCTCTTTTTTTGTGTGCTGCGAGGAGGGAGTGTGGTAAGTTGATGAACTGATTCAGTTGCATGCGAAGTTGTATGTTGAAACCAGTCTTTCATACTTTCGGATTCAGTCTTAATAGCATTTTGTCTTTTTGTATGTTGTATGTTCTCACTTGTTTGAATTCTTCAGATATATTTAGTTGACTAAAGTTAATCTGATTTCATGTTAGAAATTATTTTTATTACTCATATTGTTATTTCTTGTTTGTAGGTAGGTCAAGGTTGTTTGGAGTTATTCCCATTGACTCCAGGAGATGATGATTCTGCAGAATTACGCAAGTTGACAGATGATTGGTCTAAAGCTTCTCCATCCTTGATGACAACAACTGTTCCGTTAAGCAGAACACCTGGGAACAAAAGCTCTGTTCCATTGGTAAGTTTTATATGTGTGGTGGCGTATTCGTTTTTAATGCGAAGTGTTGTTTATTCCGTATATGTATAGAGTGCACATGACGCTACTATTCATTCGTATGTCATCGTCATCCATTAACTACTGTCATCGGCAGGAACTTCCGCACATTTGTGCAAAGTTCTATGTCGAAAACAGACAGACAGATCGGCAGGAACTCCATCCTCACTCCTGACTGAATCGTCCCCATTAGTCACAACTTCTCACCGGAACCACAGGCAACTTTGCCCTGTAAACAGTTGTCGTTACGCTAAAATCACGAATTGGTAAAAGTTAAAATCCATGGATTGACCATTGAATTGGGTCCCAGTGGCTGAATGGTATACAAGCCAGCTTGCCTTGTGGGCAGAGGGTCGTGGAATTCGAACCCCCTGTGGTGGATGGGTACTGCCGATGATTCCCAAACTAAGATGGAACAGCTGCCCAGTATTCCGTGTTGGTTTTCACTGGTTCTCTAACTGATATCAATCCGTAGTTTTACCTGAAACAAATACATTCCCTGCAAAGTGATTCTTGAATTCTTGATTCTTGATCTACTAGTTTGACTGACCTCCTAGTCACTACAGCATGGTATCTAGTCAATTATATTATATTTCTTAATTGGATTTATTGGGTCTTTAAGCCGACAAAATCTATCGCTGAGAAGTTTAGTTATCTACTTGGTTTGAATACCACCCAATTCCAGTCTGAATGAGAATTCTACTTAAGGCGTCTGATATTCCTCCTCTTAAAGGACAGTATTATAGAGGCTTTGAATTCGATATTATTTTTGTCATTCCCACTAATAATCTTATTTTTCCTTTGGTTTTCCATACATTTCTGAAAAAATTCTTTTGGGTAGTGTGTTATTCACTGGTAATGTTGGCCTTACTTGTTTGATTTCATCGGTGGCACAGCGGTTAAGACGCTCGCCGATCATGCACATGCTCCGGGGTTCGACCACCGGCCGACGAACTTCTTTACCTCGCTAAGCCAGAAATACTGCCGGTAAAGAGGAGAGGTTGGGCATGAGGCTGGCTAGCAACCCCATCCTGTAAAATTAAACACTGCTACAGAAACTTTAGACCTCTAGCTTGAGGCCTATGCTCCACTGGGAACGTGAAGGATAAAAAAAATCTTTTAGCCTACTTACTAGTTAGTTAGTCTCCTGGTTTGATTATATAGACATTTAACTAAGCCTATCTTCCTTTACCAATTGTGGATGGGATGGGATGCATTGAAGTCTAAGTATTTATTGTAGTGTGTGTGTGTGTAGTGTGTGTGTGTGTGTCGGTTTCATATACATCCTAGCTAGTATCTAAGCCATCTCACCTTTTGTCTTTATATTACATAACTCCTTTACCATTGCTTATTTATTGTTTTTCCCCCATAGTCTTTTGCGCTCACAATGGAACATAGGGATGGGGGGGGGGCAGATCATTCTTATCGTTGTTATATCAGCATAACATCAATGCATACAAAAGACTACTGATTTACTGTCAACGCACTGGAAAAAAAAATATAGAATGCTCCTGACTGATAAGACAGTATGATTTATTTATTCATGGGAATGGTAGTATAGGTCTAGAGATTACAGTTATATTTAACATGACTAATAAAAAAACCGACTAGTTTAAGGTATAAAAATCATGTTTTTTTTGACTGGATAACAACGTACACCAGTGAAACATTCCAATGTGGGTGATGACCTTTTCTAATTCACATTGGGGTCAAATGTCTGATTTCACTGACTCATAATGTCTCCTTCCCTATTTTGTGAAAATAAAACACGTAGTTCGGTGAATTCATACTCGTCTACCTAGGTATACAAATGCATTTCTATATAATCTCTTTCTCATGAAACAGGATAGTATGAAAAAGTGATGAGTTGTCATAATCGCAGTTATTAGTCAGTGTATTAGAGTTACGTAATAAGATGATGAGCAATTTAATGATTACATTGTAATCAACAAGCAAATAGAAATGAAGGAAAGTGTGAAATTCTGTATAAGTTGTAAATAAGAAATACAAAAGCCATAAGGAGTTGGAAAAACAAACAAGCAAACAAAATTCAAGTGAATAGTAATCAAAAATAATAATAATCTGCTTTATTCCAAAAACAGTACTTATCATACAGAATGAATTCTCAGCAATGATCACAATACTGCATCTGACTTACTTAAAATATAAATAAAATTAGATCGTGCGCATACTTAACAAAGTTCATTTCGTCATCAGAGAGAGGCAAGTCATGCAATAAGAAAGAAAACAGAAAAGGAGAAAGGACAGCGCCTTGGGGGACACCAGCCTCAGAAAGCAATGAGGTGGACGAGTTTCTCTGATATACAATGTTCTGCTTTTTGCTGAGAAATAAGTATGCAGCTATTTGACAACCCAGCAGTCAGTTTGAGCTTCAGCAAGCTTGTTTAACAAAATGTCCGTAGGTACTGAGTCGAAAGCAGATGTTCAATCTAGGAAGGTGCAGCGAACAAATATAGCCCTCTTGTCTAAGCTGGAGACAATGTTGTGGTACAAGACTGCAACTGCATCTAAAGTATTTCTGATGTGTTTATAAGCGAATTGTTTAGGATCGTTAAAGGCTTTAAGTGAAGGTTGAAGATTAAGTAAGAGTAACTTTTCCATAGCTTTTAGGAAAGGAGACGTAATAGCAATAAGTCTAAATTTAAAACATGTTCCAGTAGACGACTTAAGGATTGGTACAATTTTGATGTCCTTCCAAACGCTTGGCACGACATTTCTGGAAAAAGATTCATTAAATATGTCCATGAGAGGATAACAGGATATCTGCACACTTTTGAAGAATAACACTAGACAAACCATCTGAACCTAGGCTACAAGAAGGGTTCGGAGACTGGAGACTTTAGAACATCATTTGTATTTAGACCAGGAAGCAGGTTTCATTAACTTTTGTAGCACTAGAGAGTTTGGCATTTGCGGGAGAAACTTTTGTCATGTCAAATGCATTACTCCAGTTTCTCCAACTGAATGTCTAAAGCTTCGCCAATGCAGCCAACCACAAGACGAAAGCGTATCGCCTGTCTTTAGCAGGTTGTTCTTCATACTGTAGATTACTTTGAAGGAAGCGTTTGTTCAGATTGAATGACCAGTGTTGACAAAGTGTTCGATTATCACACTCTTTACAGAGCCACTATTACCATTCTGAAACCATGCGGGAGAGTATTCTTAAACCCTTTTAGGCAAGTTACGCGTTGAACGACCGATATACCTGGCTCCACGGCAGCAGATGAACTGATACATGCATGCATATAGAAGTGGTTCGATGCGATATCTCATCCTTGAGGTTTCTACAGACCAAAAGATGACAGGAGAAAAATTCTTTAAGCGTTCCTGCTGTGAAGAATGTTCTCAAAGATGATGAAATTCTTCTCTTAGGGGTACAACAGGTTAGGTTTTCCTTAAAAGCTGCAGGTTGATGTAGTTTCTTTCCTCTGAACTTTTGATTTGGTATTCATATCAGTGAATGTTACTGGGTGTCCATTTTAGATGGAGGATTTAGTTGTGCTTCTAGTGTGTCTGTCCTGATTACATATGCGGTGGATCTGAGTGGTAAAGGATGCAATTAAATTTCGTTACCATTCAACAGTCACTCGTTAGTTGACCAACTGTTCGAAGTGGGTTTCCCATAAACTGACGTTTTTTTAATTCTTTTTGGTCTTCTTATCAATTCTACATCAAGAAAGGGAATTTTTGATTCGTTTTCTATTTTGAAGATTGAATTTGATTACCGGTTAGCAGTTGTTTAATACTTTTAGCAACTGATTTTCGTGTCATAACTATTATCGCAAATGATGTAAATATCATCTACACGCACCTTGTATACGGTTGCAAATTTTCACCAGTTAACTTTAATACACCGTTGTTGAGACTCTTTTGATCTCGGGTTGATGTCAGCTAGAGGACCATTAAAAAGTGGGTCGGACCACTGGGCAGCTGTTTCGTCGTAGTTTGAGGCTCGTCATCAGTACTGTCCTACGCCCCACATGTTACGAAGCTAAGCTTGTTGGTTATGCAGATACTTTAGACGGAGCCTGAATTTGTAAGACGAAAGTTCTGCACTCAATCCCTGGTGCAGTTTGTGGGTGTATGCTACTGAAGAGTTCCAAACTTGGACGAAACAGCTACCCAGTAATCCGAGCTGGTTTTCAGTGATTCTCCTGACTAACATCCATCTGTGGTCAAGCCTAAAATAAATCACATTCCTACAAACTATTTTCTGTTCTCCTGTTTATACTAACTAAGTTATTTAACAGAATTATCATCTTCCTTTCTAATGCAACACTTATACGATAGGCATGTAGGATCATGTATTTTCTTTATTTCATATTATTTCTACAGAGTGAATAAATTCTAATAGCGTGAAGAAAAATATTTGTAGGATAAAATGAGCTGATTTAAAAAACACACAAGATTCCACGCCCTATTCTTCATCTGCTAACACCCAAAAATGGTTTGAAGTTATTATGAATGAATGTGAATCTAAATAACGTACATTGATGATGATTTCAGTTACGAAGACATTTAATAATTCTTAAGAAAGTGATAGTATTTCTTATTAAGACACGAACTTGCTACATCATCGGCACCAGGAGGGGATGCGTTGAGATTGCATGCTTCAACTTTGTTCTCTCTCTTCCTCAAAGTTCGACAGGAAGAGAGATGTTTGCTAAAACATGCATTTTGATATAGTTGTGTTCTCTGAGCTGGATGGTTTATTTGCGAAGATTCCATCGCCGTACTAGCCAACATCTTCAGCGCATACTTCAATTTCTTGAAGTGAGCTTTTAGATTTATTTCCCCACGAGTTTATTAATCATCTCTCCTGACGAGTGACCTTGGACGTGATTGATTGTTTTTGTGTGTTTTCACACCTTCTAGGTTACTTGTATTGGAACTGATAGTTTCTTTGACTTGAACTTTGACCCTTTGTGTGTGAGGTTTCCTTTTTATCGATTGGTAAATTTTGTCTATCTCGATGTGTCTATTGATTGACGATTCACTGGAAGATCAGGCTTCTGAGAATTCACTAGCATTCTTGTTGTTTCCTCTGTCTAATATTTGAACGTTGTCCCAGTCGAAATGATGTCCTTGGTCTGTATGTAGTGATATGAGCGAGGGAGTGGATACCATATCTTTTGACGGCTAGCTTATGTTCGTGGATACGAAGACCAAGGGGACATCCACTTTGGTCAGTGTAGTGTTTTTTTTCGCATTTGTTACAATTTATTTTGTAGATGATGTTGGTTTTATCTTCTTTCGTTGTTGAGCTGGCTGACTGAGTAAAGTGATTTTGTTGGTTTGTGTGCGACATCAATTTCTAAAGGTTTGAAAAGTCTAGCAGTTATTTCTGAGATGTCTTTTATGTGTGGTAGGGCGATTTTCTTTATGCTTTCCTCTAGGGCCTATGATTTGGTAGGTTGGTTGGCTTTGAGGGTATATGTCTTTTGATGAAATCCCGTGGATATCCATGCTTTTGTAAGACGTCCATGAGATATCTTTCTTCAATTTCCCGTAAGGTGGAAGTGCTGCAATGAGTCCTGGCCTTCTTGAATAGTGTTTTTATACAATTCCTTTATTGTACACAGACATTACTTGTAATGCGTGTAAAGCTTAGTAAGAAACATTTAATTCGTTGTGACGTGTGTGGCGTGATGAATCGATGAGCATAATTTCTTCTTTTCTCTTCTTTTCAAGTTTCACATGACTGATCATTTCATGTGAAACACACGCACTCCCTCTCTCCCTCTCTCTATGTGTCTATTTTTGCATCTTTATTTAGTCATTCATACATACGTCAGGCACATGCGTTGATCATTCATTCTAGACTCTGATTTCTATTTTTAGTTGTTTTGCTTTTTTCTTTGTCTTCGGTTCTGTTAAGCAAACCGTTTTTTCTTTGCAGAAATCATCACCTGTTTGAGATAAATGTGATGGTTACTTTTCAGGTTTAAGTTTATTTGACAGGATCACACACACACAGAGAAGAATGCAGTATTCATAACTGGATGACAAGGTTTTGAGCATAGAATTATTGTCAAGTAATTGGTTTGCAGAGTGCGTCAGTGGCACAGCGATTAAGGCGCTCGCCGATCATGCACATGGTCCGGGGTTCGACCACTGGCTGACGAACTTCTTTACCTCTCTAAGCCAGAAATACTGCCGGTAAAGAGGAGAGGTTGGGCATGAGGCTGGCTAGCAACCCCATCCTGTAAAATTAAACACTGCTACAGAAACTTCAGACCTCTAGCTTGAGGCCCTATGTTCCATTTGGAACATCAACGAAAGAAAAAAATTGGTTTGCAGAGATCTGACTGGTTACTGATTCAATCACGAGACGATTTTATTGCCCTGGCAACCAAATTTCCTTACTCTTTCTTTCATTTGATGACGTCATCGCAGGTTTTGGTTTCTTTCACTCCTCTCTAATGTAATTTTGCTTATCTCTTCTTTCTATGAGTTTGGGTAATTTGTATGTTTACCTTTCTCATTGATCGGTCAGTAATAGTGTGATACGTTTTCTAGTCATTTCTGATTAGTAGTCATTAATAATGATGAATTTTATGTTTGCTTCATCTTGTTTTCTTTTTTTAGCTTTCGTATACGAGTGTATCAGCTTTAGTTGTTTGGAGACCAGCTAAAGATACTGAACCTATACTTCGTATTCTTTTCGTTTCACCAAATGCACATCAAACGCGTATTTTATCAAGTTTAGATGCGTTAATTTCTGGTTGCATTTACCTGCGTCATTCAAAAGCTGTGCCTGCAGAGTATGAACGCAAACGACCAGTACAACCGTTAAGCGCAGGTACTTTTTTTCCTATTACCACTTCAGAAAGTATAATTTTTTTTAACCAGTTTTCAAATTATACGATAGATGTCTTGAAGCCGTAATGAGTGATCATGACCAGTAGGTTCCTTCCACGGTGTTGTGGTGAAGTAGATATTCATTAGAAGACACTGAAGGTGAGGATAGCGCGAATTGACAAATCATAGAAAATCCAGTCCAAGTGACTGAACGTTCAACAAGCTTGATTTCTGTTAACATGGAGGTACCGAGTTCGCCCTCCCCCCTCCCCGATAAGGGTGTGTCATGAGTGCAAACTAGCGGAAAGTCCGAAAATAAGATGAAACAACTGTTCAGTACTCCCAGTTGTCATCTGAAGTGGTGACAACTAGTGGTGTCCGTCAGGGATACTCATTCCCTGTAAAATATAAGATGCTGCTACAGAACTGGACTATGTCAACTCCTTGCTTAGTGATAGGGAGTGAAGTGATAGAACATGTTGACCACTTCACCTATTTGGGAAGTTGTATTAGCATCAACGGACTGATTGGCGACGAAATCTCAGCACGGATCCAAAAAGTTCGAGCTACTTTCGCCGACTTACACCATCTCTGGCGTAGGCGTGACATCCTGCTATCAACCAAGGGACGTGTGTACTGCTCATCAGTTCGCTCCGTCTTTCTATATGGCTCTGAAACATGGCCAATACGAGTTGAAGACATGAAAAGGTTGACTGCTTTCGATCATAGATGTCTGCGATCTCTGTCTCACGTTAGTTGGTTTAATAAGGTAAGTAATGTTGACGTTAGGCGTAGAGTGTTGGACAAAGAGGGAAAATCAATCGACGAGGCTATAAAGTTACGTAGATTGAGATGGCTAGATCACGTGGTGCGCATGCCTAACCATCGCCTCCCCCGACGGGCATTACTAGCTGATATAGGTGCAGGTTGGAAAAGAGTAAGTGGTGGCCAAACAAAAACATGGCCTCATCAATCCATGAAATCCTTGACAGTTAAACTGAGTCGGTCAGGTAGGGAGATGCAGACTCCCGGGTTGGGGCCCTCGGGACTCTAGGAATCAATGGCTGGAGACAATATGTGACATGGCTCAAAATCGTTGTCAATGGCCAGCGCAGATGTATTCAGTCTCTGTAATCTTTCATATTCCTTTCTACCATTACCCGTTCTGTTTCACTCTTATACTTGTCAAACTGTATTGATTCTCTTCACTCATCTTCTTGTCTACCTTTTTGTGCTATTTGGAACATGGCAACTCGAACTTCTGCACTTCGGTGCCAAGTTCTATGTTGAATCCAGACAGACAGACTGACAGGGATGCCCACTGTCCCCATTTCTATTTAATTTCATCATAGGTGTGGTATTGGAACTTAACCCTAACTGAATTCAGCAACTCAGTGGTTAACTTGTTACCACCAGAGAATCTTCTCGTTGGTTTAGAGTATGCTGATAATATAGTCCTCCTAGGTGAAGATGCTGACGAAATGCAGAGTCTTTTGAGCACCGCCGATTAGCAGTCTTCGAATATTTGGCATGTCATTGGCTCCTGTGAAATGTGAGTTCATGATGCTGCGGGACTCGGCTACATAGTCTCATAGCTTACAGATATGCAGGGCTTGAAGTGAGGGTAGAGTGTGTTGACCGCTTCACTTATTTGAGAAGTTGCATCAGACGCAACGAACTGACTGATTGATGAATAAAATTTCAACACATACAAAAGGCTCGTGTGGTATTTCTGAACTCATACAATCTCTGGTGTAGACATTGATACCCAGGTAGGTGCAGGGCGGTTCATTCTGTCCTCCTTTATGGCTAATAGTGAGATGTGTGTGTCCATTGAAAGTGGAAGACACGAAAAGGCTACTTGTCTTTCGTCATATGCTCCTGCGTTTTATCTTCCATGTTAAGTTGTATGATAAGGTGAATAATTTTAATATCAGGCTTTGGTTGAGTGTTAGATAAGGAAGAAAAATCTTTCGAAGATGTTGTATAGCTACAGCGGTTGAGATGTTCATGACATGTGTTACTCATGCCTGGCTATTACCCTTCTCAATGGGAAACGTTAGGTAACATAGGATGAGGTTATGGGAAGGGCTAGCTATGTTGAGAGTAGAACGTTTCATTAGTTAATGAAATCCATGACAGTTAGTTTAAACCAGCCAACTAATTACGTGTGGAGGTGTAGACTCTTGGGCTAGTTGAGGTCCGCAGGATGGTAAGAACCAACGACTGTGCAGTATTGATCATATGACTCGAAGTTGTTCTCACTGGCATCGGTGCATGTCTTTACTGCCTTCTCTTGCTTTGTGCGCTCTAAGGAGGGAGTGCAGGAGCTCCAACTGTTGCATTTCTGTGCTAAGTTCTATGCTGGAAGTAGGCAGTCATGCTCTCAGCTGGTTTTCAATGGTTTCTCTAAATGATGTTGGTTTGTGTGAAAAATCTAACAATTGAAATTTTTCAAATTCACAAAACTTTTTCAGTCGTTTTTTTCTAAATTATCTCTTTTTGTTTTAGGCATGCGACGCCCCACAGTACCAGCAACAACAACACACGCTGCATCTGCTAGTAATGAAAGTATTGCCAATTCGACTGGGCAAAATCATCACAATACAGCTCGATTGTCTCAAGTGCCCAAGAAGACTGCAGCTCAGCGACCACCTTCATCAGTCTCAACATCATCGAAAAATGCGACTAATAAACCTTCGCCTTTGGCAAAAACACCTGCCAAGGTAAACGAATCAGCCAAAGACAAAAGTGCCACAGAAGTGAATTCACAGCATCATGAAACTTGTGCTAACGGTAGGTTTGTTTTGATTGGGTGTGAAAATGATTTTGTTCAGTGGGACGCGTCGAAAACCAGCACTGGACTACTGGGCAACTATTTCGTCCCCTCCCCAGTCTAGGACTCGAACCCAGGGTCTTCCGGATTACAAGGAAAGCTCGTAGACCATTCAGCCACTGGGACCTGACTCGGTAGCCAGTCCGTGAATTATAACTTCTGCCATTTCGTGGTTTTAGTGAGACTATCAGTCAATTTCGTAGGCGAGTATTTGTCCTCATTCCTGACCTGATGTTTCCCACTGCTCACAACTTTCTCTTCATGCAGCCTGTCACTGGCGAGCATCACATTAAGCTTCATGAGTTTGTTTGTAGAGCGAAAAGCCAGTAATGAGGATATAATGGAAATAGTAAATATTTCGTCCCTCAATCCTTTTACCTTCAACATGAAATGTTCAACAGTTCGTTTGATCCACGTAGCTGGCCACGCAGGCTAACAATCGTTGTACTTCTTGATATTGGGGCTGCCTACGATTCGTTTTACAGAGCTGTTCTCCGGAGCTGTCTGTTAGAGAAGAGTGTATCTGGGATGTTTATTAACACCCTGGTAGCCATATACAGAAATACCTCAGGTAGAGTGAGGGCATACAACCAGCTATCGTCACTATTCCCACCCAACAGTGGGTTAGACAGGCTTGCCTAACCTCTCCATTTCTATATAACTTTGCTATCGATGACATTCTGGAATCAGCTCTGAAGGACGCATGCTGGTGGTGTAGCTCTGTTCCCTGGAGAGACACTTGTCTACCTCAAGTATTCAAACGATATCGTCTTAAAATTGTTTGTGTTCGATGGCTTCATCTTTTAAGTGATCCTGAGGTCTGGCAGCATGTGTTTGGACACAGTGGCGATAACCAGTCATTCGTCATCTGGACATTTACTACAAAATATTATCCCAGAGGCTTCGGTATCGGTTTCTGTTCGCTAGACATGAGACTGGATGTAAAAAGCGGAGAGGTGGTCAACTAATAACGCTGCGTCGTGGATGAAGGATATTTCTTTTAGGTTACCATTGGTTGGTGCGTCACGACTCCCTGTTTGGCATCCGGAGAAGGCTCAAATTGGTGGCTTGAAGCATTATCAGACATGGCCAAGTATCACAGTCAGTGACTAGTGTGCTACAGTTTCTCTCTTTCTTCCTTTTGTGAAATAAGTTCGACGAATGGCTGTTTGATCGTTTCTGGACGAAGTCCTTTATTCATTCAGTCCCTACTTTTTCTCATATGTTGTTTTATTATTATTGTGTGGCGCATCATCTTGGTGTCCATATTTCATCAGGTTGTGTGTTACGAATAAATTAATAAATAAACAAAGCAAATGAGCCATATAGGGAGGTCTTCAGGATTCCAAGAACACCAATGAATAGAGTACTATTAGTGGGATGACTCAAATGCGCATTCACCACATCCACTCTTTATGATTTATTATATTCTTCCAATAAAACCCCATTACTTTCCCATGGTTACTGCTATTCTTTCTCCTTCGCATTTGAGCTTATTATTGTTTTTTTCGAATCTCTTTCTCTCAGTCTCTCTTTGGTCCTTCTTTGTGTGGAATATGGAGTGTGGCAAGGTGAATTCTACTCCAAAGGGGGTGTGTTACTGCTTAGCAGTCCACTCTATCCTCCTTTAGAGTGGACTGTGAGACATGACTATTGAAAGTGGAAGATGTGAAAAAGCCAATGTTAGCTGACGTGCGATTAGGTTGGAAAACGCCTACTGGTGGTCAAACTAAAACATGGCTCCACCAGTCAATGGAATCCATAACATAGTTAGTTTGAACCAGCCGGCCATGTAGGAAGGTGTACACTTCATGGTTGGAGATAACTAACTGGTGATGTGGCTCAAAATCTTAGTTCTCAATGGCTGGTGTAGATGCATCCACTCCTTGTGACTTATAATATTCAATAAAACTATGTGGTTCTTCGATATTACTTTTCTTTTTGCCTAGTATCTCTGTTTTGTCTTCTCTTGATTTGTGTGCTATATAGAGGGAGTGTGACGACTTGAACTGCCACACATATGTGCAAAGTTCTTTGTCGTAAATAGACAGACAGACAGATAGATCCACTCCTCGTGACTTATAATACCCAATAAAGCTATGTGATTTTCTCAATATTACTATTCTTTTCGCCTAATATCTTTATTTATTATTTCTCTTTGTTTTGAACCTCTTTGTATTGTCTTCTCTTGGTTATTTTGTGCTACATGGAAGGAGTGTGACGAGTTGAACTGCTGATGCATTTTGGTGTAAAGTTCTATGAGGAACTGTTGTACTTCTCTGTACGAATTTGTTCTATGTATTGTGAAGCAGGTCAGTTAGAACTAACGATCTAACTAATTAACTAATTCTTATGCTTTTGATCTTATGGTCAAAATTTATTAAATAGAGTAGAGGAGGTGAACAGTAATTCGTTTTTTTCTCTAAAAATAAAGCATATATATGTATTAAACACAGACAAAACAAGCCGTCTACACTGTTTTTGCTTTTGGTGTTTTTTGTTCAAATCAACGCCCCATTTTCATCGATCAGTTACCAAATGTTTTTCTTCTTCATTTCTCTCCTCTTTTGTTTCGCTTATTTTCCCTTGCTGACTAATTTCTAGGAGCGGAATGATAGTAATAATAGACAGTGTGTTCAACACCACCTGTGTGTCGTGTGTGTGTATGTGTGTGTGTGCGCATTTGTGCATGTGTATGTTGTCTAACCCAACCTCCTGTGTAGGCGATTTATTCAAGTAGTCATTATAACCGTATAAATATAAAAACGCTTAAATCTCAGTTATTATTATTATTATTAGTAGTAGTATCATTATTGTGAATTCTCGACGTTAATTCTTTCTTATTTGTTAATACTAGACATTAGTCATGTAGACAGGCGTGTGTGCGTGTTCGCATTCATGTGCAGTGACTATAAACACGTGTAATGAATGAATTAGATCAATATGGAAAGTTGTTTTTTTTTTACAGAGAAGTGTATTAGTTCTACTACTTTGTTAGTCAGTTGGTTAATTTTTGGAATCAAGTTTAAAGAAGGCTTTTAGAAAATTTCATCACCCTAATCCCCCTTCCTTTATACACTATATACTAACCAAGTAGTGTATGTCTCATGAATGTGAGTTCACAGCGAAATACACACCTGTCAATAAATCCTAACTACTCAGGCGTTTAGAGCTTAATTCTTATCCAAAGTATTATTACTTCACCTATAACCTGACGGATCAGGAATAGATCTCAGGACAATTGTAAGCGTTTGAGGTGTGTCCGTTGACTAGAGCATTTCGGATTGTGAGCGCGATTGTTACTTCCCGGCTGCCCACACCGTGGAAGTTGGTTGCGTGACCGCAGAGCCCAGGGGACAACTGTTTGAGGCCGGTCACACGCGGCCTGTTTTTGTTTCTTCTTTATTGTTTGATGTGTCTCTGTAGTATATTTATCACTTCTGCCCTGTGACACGGCAGCAGGAAGCTTGGTGGTTGTTAATCCGAGCCACGGCCGATCCGGCATGAAATTTTTTGATTTTGTTTGTATCATTATGTTGGATTGGGTAGCTGCTTTTTGTTTAACCGCTATCCAAACAACCTTTCTGGCATGGTAGGACCTGAAGAGACATGAGTCTCAGCCAGTATAGCTTGATTAGGTCATTTCGGTGTTCAAGTCCGACCACCACGTCAAGGTAGCAGCTTTCGGTCGGGATAAACTTACCTCTTTACCAGCATTATTTCTGGCTTAGCGAGGTAAAGGAGTGCGTCGACCGAGGACTCCTTGTGACCTATGATTTCCAATAAAACTGTTTTGTTCCTCGCTAATACTCTTTCTTCGTCTCACTCCTCTGCTTACTGTCTCTATTATGCTTTTCTTGTACTTTCTTATCTTGCTTTGTGCGGTACATGGAGTGTGGCGACTTGAACTGTCGCACGTATGTGCAAAGTTCTATGTCGAAAATAGACAGACAGTCCGTTGACTATATTTAAGCAACCATTGGAAAGGAATGAAATACCTGTTAAATTCCAACTTTTGTCAGTTTGCGATCCGGACAGGAAGTGGTAGGTCGTGTCGACAACTTTACCTGTATGAGAAGTTGAGTCAGCTCCAGGAGGTTCATCGCTGACGAAATCTCAGACGGGTATAGAGGGATAGTTTAGCATACGTCAAATGACATCATTTCTGGGATAGATATGATATCTGGATGATTATTTATCAGAAGATATGTATGCTGCGTAGCATTATTTTGCTCCACTCTCCTTTATGGTTGTGAGGCAGACATGGCCATTGAAAGTGGGAGACATGGGAAGTCTGACCACCTGTCTTTAATCATAGGTGTTCGCCTGGTAGGCGTCATAGGTTGAATAATCTTGAGGTTAGGCTGCTATCGAGTGTTAGATAAGGAGGGAAAGTCTATTGATTGCGAGATTGTGAAGTTACATCAACTGAAATGGCTATGACATGTTTTACTCATGCCTGGTGACCGCCTTCCTCGACGAGGACTGTTAGCTGACATAGAATGGATCAGTTCGGAGTAGAGTTAGTGGTGGTCTAAATAAATAAGTCCATAAAATCTCTGGCAGTTGGTTCTAGCTAACGAGCGTGGAAAGTGTAGACTGGCTGTCTGGGGTCCTCAGGATGGTAAGAACCGATGGCTGAAAGCAATCAGATATATACCTCAAAGTCGTTCTCGATGATGGCGTAGATGCATTCATTCACTCTTTGTGTTCTCCGATATCCAATAAAAGACTTGTTTTTCTATGTTACTATTCTTTTTGGTACTTATTATGCTTCTTCCAAATCCCTTTAATTTCCTCTCTCCTTTGGTCTTTCTTTGTGTGCTACAATGAGGAAGTGTAGTTTGAGGACTCGAACTGCTGCACTTTTGTTCAAAGTTGTTCTATGCTGAAACCGGTCAGTAGTAAATCAGAAGAAAAATTTGTTGGAAACGATTTTTCACTCAGTATTTTTCATCTTCTGAATATATTGTGAGGAAATTGCTTACTAAGCCTGCACTAATTTATACAGGCATTCGAAGACACCACAACATGGAGACTGCTTACTTGTCTGCTTACTGTCTCTATTACGCTTTTCTTGTACTTTCTTCTCTTGCTTCGCGTGCTACACGGAGTGTGGCGACTTGAACTCCCGCACATTTGTGCAAAGTTCTATGTCGAAAACAGACAGCAGACAGACAACATGGAGACTAAATTTATGCGTTTCCTTGTATGCATTGGCGGTTGGTTTATCAGTAGAACGCTCGCCAACAACCACACCTTATGTGGTCTAGGGTTCGATCCCCAGCTGACACACTCCTTAGTCAAGCTGCTTAGCCGATAGTAGGGTCTGTAAAGAGAGAAGGTTGGATGTGAGGCTAGTTGTACTCCACCCGGTAAAAATAAAACAGTCAATACTGCACTGTTGTGAGAAATTCTCTGTTTAAATCCATTCAGTCAGTCGTCAGGCTGATTTCTCTTGTTTCCATTTTGTTTCTCATTTCGAATTATACGAATATCCATCTATGTAAAACATTGAGAATGTATGTAGGTATGTATATATATGTGCTTCTTCTTATCTTCCTCTTCTTTTATTTTCCCCATAGATGATGTGCTATCTTCACCTGAGAATTTGCCTGCTGAATCAACTGATATCAGCTCAGATATTATGAACGGTGATGATGCAAGCAACATCAATGGTGGAGCTGACGACGTCATTATGCATAAACCAGCAAATGGTTATGGGAATGATGCATCAGATTTTGAACCCTCTTTAGGGGATTCAAAACAGTCGATGAGTAATGGTGACAATAATGAGTTTATTATTCATAATAACAATAATAATAATAACGACCTGAATATGAATACACCAATCAAACTTCAAGAGCATACACAACAAGAATTCCACACTGGTGGTGGTGGTATTCCACAAGAAAATAAAGTTTCGCCAGCTGATGGTTTTAAGCATGATCCAATTGCTTCATGGGGGATGCCACAGAATTTACCATTGCCAACAGGTAATTATGCAATGCTTAAACGGTTCAGATTCTGTTTTTTCTTCTGGTTTTCTCTAAGCTTTCAGTGTATTCTAAAGGAGCTCTGATTATAGTTTTAATCAGCAAGTCATGGGTAATGAAAAAGGCTGGATTTACTGAAATGTGACAATTTCCCAGAAAACTTCTCCCGAGTTACCTTTCAAGAGATAGACAACGTTGAAGGAAGTATTTTGATGACAGCTCTAAATGACCTACGCCCAAGCTCAGATGAATGGGTTGTAGATAGTAGTCCTCCATATGTGTAACCGAGGTTACAGAGACTATATCTAATTTGAAACGGGGTAAAAGTAACAGGATGTGATGTTTAAAAGACAGTCTTGGTAACAGATTACTGTCTAGGTTAACTAAGGTATATTAAGCAACGTCTGGGAATGGGAGACCGATGTAATTCATTGATTATCCCAGTGTACAAGAAGGCAGACAAGTTTTCTTGTGATGATCATGGGCGGATTATCTGGACTAATATGTGATCTCTAAAGTTTTTGGTTCAGGCGTCGGTGGCACAGCAGTTAGGACGCGACGCTCTCCGACTATTCACATGGTTCAGGGTTCGACTCCCGGCCACAGACGCACTACTTTACCTCGCTAAGCCAGAAATAATGCTGGTAAAGAGGAAAGGTTGGGCATGAGGCTAGCAACCCCATCCTGTAAAAATAAACACTGCTACAGAAACTTCAAGCCACTAGCTTGAAGCCATATGTTCCACTGGAGAACGTGAAGGGAAAAAAAGTTTTTGGTTTAATAATCATGTGAAGATTAAGTGGTACTCTGGAGAAACAAACACTAGAAAATCAAGCAAACTGTAGATCAGACGGAGGGTGTGTTGATCATATATTCAGCTTTTACAGGTTCTGGAACGTAGTAATACTATGGTGTTTGGGTTCTACCTTCCGTGTTTGACGGTCTGTGTAATAGTGTGAGTAATGCTGACGTTAGGCTTCGGTCGAGTGTTATGGCGGAAGGGAGGGAGGGAAAGTCAATCGATAAGATTGTGGAAGCGAATTGTCCTGACGTAACTCTAAGTCCCATTTCATTATGACTAACCATCATATGCCATGTATCAAGAGAAATTAAACACAAACACTTGCAACCAAAGTGATTGTCGCTTCCTTAGCTTCTACTTTCAACGTCCATGTTTCATAGCTGTGAAGAAGTAGAATGTTTTGAACTACTGGACAGCATGGCGGTGGTGGAGATAGGTAGCTGGATATTACACCTCTACTGATGTTGATTCAAGTTGACAAATGCCGAACAGGCCTTTTGTGTCTGTACTAAAATTATTTTAGCAGTCAGTTCATTGGGGCCGAAAAAAACATCATGAATGGGTAAAGTGGTTGCACACCCACTCAACTATTTAGAATTAACTGCAGATCGGTTCTGTAGCACCACTTCACATTTTATACGTGTGTATCCCCTGCCAAACACATTTGGATGTGTGTTGAATGTCTTCGGAATACTTACTGTATTTCGTCTGAGTCTTCAACCTTAAAGGACACTTTCTTCAGGACGTTGCAGTCACCTAAGGTCATATTTCTTCATACATTTATAATAAAATTAAATGACAAAAGTGTTTTGTGGACTAGACTAACCCTAATTTCACTACTAAAATGTCTAATGCAGTTACATGATTTCAATTTGAATTCTGAAGTTATTTGAACAAACATTTCTTAAACGTTGCTCACTCCTGACTAACTGGCTGCGACATGGAATTTTGGCGCAAACACAGGCCTGTTCAAGTTGCCAAATCCTCTTCATGCAACACATGATTCGCAAGAAGAATGTGTGAAAGTTAACACGATCTATCCCCACTCCACTCCCTATCTTTAGGCTAGGAGTGAATGTGTGTAATCCAGTCCTGTAGCGCCATCATCTTACATTTGACGGGAGTGAATCGCACTTCATGCATTCGAAGAGTGCTACTCAAGGTGTTCAGAAAACTGTATTTTGTCAGCGTTTTCACCCAGAAGTACTATATCATCCGTGCTGTTCTCTGCTAGGCACAAGTCAATCGCTGAGTAGCTGTTGTCAGCTGTGACTAATTCCGTGAGTACATCAATGGTGGAATTTTTGCAGGAATCGGTGGGCAGTGGGAATTCTTTGCGCGGACACCACTGGTTGTCATCTTGTCATTTCAGATGACAAGTTCTTGTAAGATCGTACACGACTGTGTGAGTCCACTCCCTGCTTATTATTATCATTGTTCCCTTGAGTTTCTAGTGGAACATACGGCTTCAACTGCACTTGCTTCGGTCTTCCTTCTGCTGTACTTTTCACCTGCATCCATGTTAGTCCATACTGTTTCAACTCCTCTTCACAAGATCTCCATGTCACCCTTGCACTAACGTCCCACTCGCCGCTTCCCTTTCGGGTTCTATTCGAGTAATGGCCTGATGTGCGTGCGATGTCACCCAGTGGCCTCCTCAACGAGTGAGTGTCCAATCCACTTTTTCCTGCATATTTGTTGGTTGGCGATTGGTTCTTGTTCTGTTTTGTTTGTTCCCATAGTTTCTTGTTGGTGATTTTTTCCGGCCCGGCCATCTGATCTTCATTCAGTATAGAGCGAAGATAGTTAGTTGTTGATAAAGGTATGGAATAGTCAGTCTGTTGGAAATATTCTTTGTGACCCACCCGTCAAGTTTCTGATCCGATCCGTATAGAAGAACTGACTTGGCGTTTGTATTGAAAATCCGACCGAATTTTGTTGTTGATGCTGGCTGAGTGACGAAGATTTCCAGATTGGTTTCAGGTTGATGATGAATGTGTTCCTCGCCTTCTTGATTCTCGCTCGATATGATATCCTCCTCCGTTCCGACTGCGTGTGATTGAGACAATGCTCCCTAGATAAGTGAATGAAGTAACCTTCCTGTTGAAGGCGATCTTATTCTTTTCATTTACAAAATTTTATAAGTTCTTTCAACTTTGCTAGTTTTCCTTTTCTCCAGTTGATTTAATGTTTAATTTTGATACTGTCTCTTTTCCCCCGAAAGGTCCAGACGCTTCAAAGAAACCATCAGCAGCTGCTGCCGGAACTACAAATGGAGATAAGAAGCCAGCATGTAAGTGATAATTTTTATTTAATTTTACGAAACTGTATTTACACAGAATTCATGTCTGCTAGTAATAGCAATTAAGAATATTGGATTGTTCATGGGGGTTTCGAAGGCAGTAGGGGGTGTATACTGTAATCATCGAGAATTATCTCACAATTGCTTCGTTAATGGTTTTCTTAATAATAGTTCAAGTCCGTTTATGCAATCTATACCTTCTAGTTTCGGTAAATGAATCTACGTTCAGAAAATGTCAGGAAGTTGTATCTGTGAAATGTGTACGAACATTCACAGATGCTCAAAGAGAACAATCCGACAATGTTTTAACACTGTAAACTTCATTTTGTGTATGTCAGTAGAACGATGCCTATTCTTGAATAAAACAAAAACAATAAATTAAACGGAATAATAAATATTGCGTAAAATCTATAAACTATATACAATCTGAAACAATGTGAACATCAACATACAAAATATTTGCATACTTCATACTTCGAGCACATCTATGGAGACCTTTCAATCTCAAGTTTTTCGGAAAGTGTCCAGATGTGCGATCATAAATCTTTCTCTTTGTTCGTCTAATATATGTATGTGGGGAATGCGGTTGAATGTAACATGAAAGGTTTTGGAGGTGGGTGGGTGGATTTGACAACCTTAGATTGTTTCAATAAATTGCTCTTGTTCAGTATTGTGTAGCTTATTTACTTACTTACTTTACTTTACTTCGGCTATCTCCTACGGGAGGATGAGCCGGCTTCATGAACGTCTCGAATCATCGCTGCCCAGGCGCGGCAATTTGTAAGAGAGTTCATGAAGTTTCATGGGAATTTGGTACGAGTGATGTCCCCAGCATCGCTCGGCCTTTTGTTTGAGAGTGCAGCTCTAGCCTTTACACAGCCAAGTGTGACCTACAAGGCAGTAGGAGTGGAGTAAGGAGTCCACTATCCATTGGCAGCCTGTGACCGGAGTTCGGTTCATACGCCTTTTTGAATGGGGCCAGACATCCAGGACATCCAACAAGCCCTTTGTCCATACGTCTGCCGGTGAGCTCCAGTGAGCTTCATACGCCAGTCGTTGGAGGTTTGGAATCAGGGTTTAGCCATCTCCCCTAGACCGTCATCCAATGGACAGTCAACCCGGTGGAGAGCGCCGGGCATCCGCTTTCGCCCTCTTACTTTGGTGAGAAACACCTCCGCCACGTGAAGGCAGTGAGTAGCTTATTTGGAAGTTGGATGAATTCTCTTCAGCTCAACATTTATTTTGTACTTGGTTCCTCCGCATACTTCGTCTATCAGAGGACGTGTGTACTGCGCAGAAGCGGTTGACTCTGTCCTCCCTTTATGGCTATGAGACATGGCCACTAAAAGTGGAAGACATGAAAAGTCTGACTAGCTGTCTTTAATCATAGGTGGCCGCCGTCTATCTCTTGTTTTCGGTGGTAGGTGTAATAGAGTGAGTAATCTTGAGGTTTGACTTCGGTCGAATGTTAGATAAGGAGGGAAAGTCAATCGAGTGTGTGATTGTGAAGCAACATCTGTTGAGATGGCTATGAAATGTTTTACTCATGCCTAGCCATCTCCTTCCTCTACGGTGTGAATGTTAGCTGACATACGGTCAGTCAATGAAGTTCACAACAGTTTGTTTAAGCCAGGGAAGTGTAGACTGGCTGTCTGGAGTCCTCGGGATGGTAAGATCCATTGAAGACTGAAGAGAGACAATCGGTGATATGGTTTAAAATCATTCTCAAGGGGGTTGGGTAGAGGCATTGATTCATTGTTATGTGTCATGTCCTTCCAATAAAACTATTGTTCTTCTATATAACTGCCATCCTCTTTTATTCTCTATCACTTCTATGTATCTGTCTCTGTCTTTTGAGTTTCTGTTTATTGTCTCGTGTTGGTATGTGTGCTTCAAGGAGGGAGTGTGTAAATTAAACTGGTGCACATCGTTGCCAATGATCTTCCTGATTGCAGTAGATTGGATAATGAGACAGACAACGGACAATGAGTAAACAGGCATATAATGGACTCACACAAAAAACTTGGAGGATCTGGACTTCACCGATGATATATGTCTGATTTCCCACAAACTGGAAGATATGCATGTGAAAAGCAACGAGCTGGCAGAACAAGCATCCAGAGAAGATAGGACTTCAGGTGAACATAAGGAAAACAGAGGTGATGAAGTTTCCTGACCAACAGCAACAACAACAACAGACAACAATCAGCCCGCATAAATGGGAGGAACCTGAAAAAAAACCTCGTTCACCTACCCACCAACCTGGGAAGCATCGTTTCAACTACAGGCCAACGGAACTGACGAGGATATCAAAGCCAGAATCGGAAAAACAAGACAGGCTTTCATTACTCTGAAGTCTGTGTGGAGGTCAACATCACTCGGAATCAAAAATAAGATCCGGATCTTCAACTCCAATGTGAAGTCAGTGCTACTCACTATACGGATCAGAGATTTGGCCAATGCGTCATAAAGAGCATCTCCAACAAACTTCAGACCCTCATTAACAGTTGTCTTCGCTTAATACTCAAGATCAGATGGCCGGTCAGAAAAGATAAGCAACAGGGATCTCTGGCAATGAGCGAACCAACCCATCAGGAACCGATTGTGAAACAAATAGGCAGGAAGAAATGGAGATGGATTGGCCATACTCTGAGGAAACAAACAATCATGTGACATCACTAGACAAGCCATAGCTCGAGTGGAACCCGAATGGGAAGCGGTGTGTTGGTCGTCCGAGGGTGACTTGGGGAGGTCATGTGAGGAGGAGGGGAAAGCGTGTGGGTAGACTCAGAGCCAGGTGAAAACTCTAGTAGAGAGCCGAAGGCAATGGAGGTGCGCAGCTGAAGCCCTATGTTCCTCTAGGAATTAAAAGATATAATATTAATACATCGTTGCAATATTCCATACTGAAACTATTTAGTCAGTCAGTCAGTTACTTAGTCACACGTTTTTCTTCATTGTATCGGATTTTATGTTTTTCGTGTTTTATCAGTAAACTTTTCAAGTGATCTACTGTTTTGTCGAGATGTTTTAACCATAGCGATTACTTGATCAAGTCTTTCCTTTAAGCATAACTTTTCGATACATTTGATGAAGGTGTATATTTTTGAAACTTTTTGAACAGAAGCTATTGATACAGTTCAATACATTTTACTCGCCTTCTCATTTTGGTGGTTGTTCTTGCCTTGTTTTTATTTAATTGGTCTGTAGAGAAAATATTTTTACGATGTGTCTATAGTATTCATCGTTTTATTGCGCCTACAGAAGCATTAAAATAAGGTCAACATATGAAATTATTGCTTTGAAAGATGATACAGACGAATATGATTTCAGCCACTAGTTCTCAGTATCTTGAGGATCTCAACCAAGCAGTTCGACACCTTCCTTTATGACTCGCTTAAACTACCTGTTAAGGAATTTATAAACTGATGCTGTGTTTTGATTTGATTACCACTCGTTCTTTTCCAACCTGGCAATGACTAAGCATACGTAATCCATGCCCCAACCATCTCAATTTATGTAGCTTCACTATAAACAGTGAACTATCATTACTACTATTCCTAAAGCGATAGCTCTAAGTATTCAGAATTCGATCTTAGCTTCATTTTATTGGACGCTAAATAGTAACTAACGTCAGGCGACTAAACTCCATGATAGTCAAGTTGACAATGTCTACAGCATGCTAGGTGGCTTGTCATGACGGTGCACTGCACTCTGAATTGTTGTCAACTTGATTGGTTGGAGGCAATCGATAGGAAGCCCTTTCGGAACTTATCTGTTGGCACTGACCGGATCAACAAGGTGTATCTACAATGCTAAAGGAATTCAGTCCATGTCTTCTGTGATTTATTTCCTTTCTGCTACACTCCTCGAATCCCTCTTGGAGGTAAAAAGCGAAAGTCGCATACATAAACGTGCTGATACAATTCGATAACTCAACGTTTGGCACCATGATGGCGATTGAACTGGGTTTCCATTTCTGTATTTCTGCAGCCTTGCAGTTACAGGCGTAGACTTCATTGAGTCGAGTACAGTTTTGACTTTCCCGTCAATCGTAATTTCAACTGGAGATAACTGATTCGGAGCAGAAAGATTCAGAGATGCAATTGACGGAACCTCCTTTAGGGATTGTAATGGCTGCTTTCACTAATGGACACTAGAGGTAGCAGTAATAGTAGTAACTGCTATTGTGAATGAATAATCGCTAACTGTAATTGTTCTAATCCTCTAGTGTAGTCTAAATTTATCAGTGCCTAAATATAATACTTTGTCATGATGATATCCTACTTTCAGTGTTATTATTTTAACTAGCTGTCAAATTTTTATTCAAAACTGTACTTAAAATAAAATATATACATTTTTAAATCACTATGACTATAAATGTGTCTACTCTATTTCCCTTTTTGTTTTCTGCTACAGCTCATATGCCAACGAGACGAGTTACATCTGTCAACAGTGCTTCATTGAATGTGACTAAAACTAGTACGTTTTCAAAAATGTCAAATTATTGTTGTTTTTGTTATTATTATTACTACTACTGTTAATACGTAGTTTAATATAGTCTGGTTGTTTATAATCTATCTACTCTTCATTATCAAAGTGAGTGTCGAGCTATTTTTGTCCGTGTGTAGCTAACTTGATAAAAGCTGTTACGTATGCCTAGCCATCGCCTTCCTCCATAGGCTGGCATAGGATGAACCAAGTTGGAAAAGAGCTAGCTCTATTGGTGGTCAAACCAAAACATCAATCAATGAAATCCATAACAGTTGGTTTGAACCAGCCAGCAAGCCACGTAGGGAGGTGTAGACTGACTTCCTGGTTCGAGTCCTCAGGATGTCTGTCTGTCTGTTTCCGGCATAGAACTTTGCACATATGTGTGCGGCAGCAGCACACTTTCATTGGAAATCATAAGTCACAAGTAAACAGTAAAGTATACTAAAGAAACTAACATGGAATTACATACAACTACCACAGTGCCCACGTTTTACACATATATATTAATTGAACTACTACAAGTTCTACGTTGAAAATCTAATTGGTTACAATTATTTTATTTTGGTCTTTCAGGTCGTCCTTCTCTTGCTCCACGTCCAACTACGCATACAAATGGATCTAATCAATCAGCTGCTACTTATTCCCCTGGTTATACTATTGCCTCAGGGCATATCACTAGTGGCAAAGCACCAGTACCACCATATGATAAAGTTAAACCAATTTATGTCGATGTTGCATTTCTTCCAGGTGGTGGAAATTCAAATTATGTTGATGCTGAATGGTTTAAACGTGTTAGAGCACGTTATTATGTAGCTACTGATGTAAGACCTACTTGTTCACTTTTAGAATCTTTAGTTGTCGGCAAAGAATCATGGAGCGGTAAGTTTGAGCTTTCTATTTCAGCATTATTTATTAACGTTTGTAATACTTATTATTATTTAATTATTTAATATTTTTTTTGCGTTGTCCCAACTTGGAACATAAAGGTTTCGGACTGTAGCTTTAAAGTTTCAGTGTCAGTAGTGTTCTCTTTTACAGGATTGGGTTGCTAGCCTCCAGCACAACACTTCCTCTTTACTGAGCTGAGCACATCTATATGTGATCCTAGAAGGGATGGAATTTAACAACCCATAGAAAGCGGAGATGTGATGTATATTCCAAGTTTGACAAAAGTCAGAAATCACGAGTCATGAATTCAGATTCTCTGAGTGACTTATCAATGGGATGGACTTGTGACATGAAGGTCCTAGATCCGATTCCTAATAGTTTCATAAGTGTAGACACTGTTAAAAGCATCCACACGAGAATGAAACAACTATTCAGGGCTCCCTGGTATCCAACGGTTCTCTAACTTGAAATAAACAATGAAATTTAACAAGGCAGGATTTTTATGAATTCATCAAACTTTGGTAGGACTCTTCCTCCGCTGGACAGTCTACATCCAGGGCTTTAAAACTAAGATGAAATACCATTGGATGGTTGAAGGCAATCGGCCACAGCAAGCCTTGCTCGACCCAGGTTTCATGCTAGTTGGCACTCATCAGCAAGGCGTATCTGGAACCTTGAAGGAACTCATGTCCCTTCTGAGATTCGAACCCGCGTCACCCAGTCAGTACTTCAGTCAGAGACGTTACCAGAAGGGACATGAGTTCCTTCAAGGTTGTAGATACGTCTTGCTAATGAGTGCCAACTTGCACGTAACCTAGGTGAAGCAAGGCCTGCTGTGGCCGATTGCCTCAACCATCTAATATCATCAAAACAATATGCGCCATGATGGCGAGCTGCGTAGAATGGTGGCCACATTACAAACCTGTGTGATAGAATTCAGTTTGCACCAAAGATAAGACTAGACACATCACACTAGTTGCTAGTGTGGTGAGAGCAGGCTGCTAGCCGATTGGTTGGCACTAATCTACGTTAAGGTCTAGGTCACTAATATGAGCCGTGATTTTTTTTTTACAAGCCTGAGTCAACAACCAATCACAGCAAAGTTAACGTGGCAAAATATGATTCGCAGAGAGAACTCTATTTGTCAAGGAATCCCGAAACAACCAATCAGAAGCCTGCGTTTGTCTAACTAAACAACCAATCAAATGACTGCGCTTGTCTATAATAATATAGTTGAAATATGTATAAATACGTGTTGATTTTCATAATAAAACGATCTGTTGCCTGGCCCTTGTCTTCTGTTGTTACATTTGGTGTCGCTGCCTACCGACAAATGGAAAGCCTATGCCCTGCTGTTTTCGATGGAGACATATGGATCTTCGGGCAGGACTTCAAGGCTTCTGCGCAGTTGAGTGGCGTTCAAGATCTGCCAGCGATGGAGCTGCTACTTGAGACGCTGCTGGGAGGTCGGGCGAAAGCAGCATATGAAGGTGTCGGCCGAAGTATGGACGAATGTTCGACAGGGTCAGGCAAACAGTTTCCAAAGTGGGAAGGACCATATATGGTCACTTCGAGATGGGGTTACGCAGACACAGTCGCAATGGCGAACAATGAGAGGCGCGTGAACGTCAGCGAGCTCCAGAAATGGATACAGCGAGACAAGCCAACGATGACGCCTGCACCAAGTAGATCAAGCCGACTTCAGTCGCACGTATTTGACGGGGGGACGAGTGTGGTGAGAGCAGGCTGCTAGCCGATTGGTTGGCACTAATCTACGTTAAGGTCTAGGTCACTAATATGGGCCGTGATTTTTTTTTTACAAGCCTGAGTCAACAACCAATCACAGCAAAGTTGACGTGGCAAAATATGATTCGCAGAGAGAACTCTATTTGTCAAGGAATCCCGAAACAACCAATCAGAAGCCTGCGTTTGTCTACCTAAACAACCAATCAGATGACTGCGCTTGTCTATAATAATGTAGTTGAAAGATGTATAAATACGTGTGGATTTTCATAATAAAACGATCTGTTGCCTGGCCCTTGTCTTCTGTTGTTACACTAGTATCCAATCAAAATAAGATGAAATGCATTACAGTTCAAGTATATCACTTAAATAAACAATGGTTTTGATAATAAAAGTAATAATAATAGTGTTAAAACAAGTTAACATAATAGTATTGATAAAAGATGGTTTTAAATGAATCAGGAATAATAATAATAATTATAATAACAGTTAATAAGTAGAACATACTCCCATGGTGTAGATTCAGAGTGACCACCATTTCCTTTTGTACACATACACACACACACAGACCTAGTTTATAAACTCTAATTGCACACAAGCCTCCACACTTGCAAGCATCTTCCTGTTTGATTGTCTGCTAACAACAGCGTTTATATCATATCCGTAGTTCTTAAGTTGCTTTGTTATGGAGCTTTTTGGCACTTTGACTTCAGCTGTTTTCAATCTCCTTAGCAAATACTCCATCATGCGCGTAGACAATTGCCTTTCTGTACAACTTATGTATTTGATTCCGAAAACACATCCAAAATGATATAAGTGGTTTAAAGTGTAGAGGATTGGCGACTGGTCTTTCAGAGATTGCTGAAGCGCACCCATTTGATGGTGTTAATGAAGACAAGTCTTGCAGCATAATTAATTGTTTTGATAGCTTCGTGGAGTCTTCCTTTGACTACTTCTTGTAACCATCATCTCCTTTGAACGGCGTATTGGTATATACTCTTAGTTTTCCCTCTTTGCTGGACCTAACACTAGCTCTGTGAGGTTTCAGGGATGAGTCAGACTTAGGAGATCGAACTCCAGATCGTATGAAGCATGTTCAACGAGCATTCTACAGGTGGGCCGTCGACGTAACGTTTGTAACTAAATGGATTTGTGGATAGTGACTGCCTAGCAGTGGAATCCACCAAGATGCGCATTTCGCGAGTCAGTAATTGTGTTCCCACTGAGGCTCAGGCCTAGTGTCCACCGTTTCAAGTGCCAAAGCGTTATCTACCTGACAGACCACTTGAGTCATGGGAGCTAGCCACCTGTTTTTTGTGCAGTGGGTATCAGTTTATCATTGTTACTTAATTCACTTATAACTTTTCTGTTGATTGATAACTAGACCGAATTGCTCTGCCCGCCTCAGGTTAACATGTCGACTCCCTTTGTGAATGCTTCAACGATGTGTGAGGATTTAACTTGAAGCGATTTGGTGCTGGTCGGTGACTAGCAGTCACTTAGGTCGAGTCAGTCATTCAATCAACGAGAAAGTCCAAATTAAATTAAATCAGGTTGTAATTACTATTGTGAAATGTGTATTTCTAAGAACCACTTTTGAGAATACCTTCCATCTTTCATTGATTCTTTTCTTTTTATTTTTCCCGCTCCTTAGGTGATGATGCCCAACTTGAAGTGTCTTTAATAATTGCTTATGAAACAGAAGAGCTGTTAATTTGGCTTGGTGTAAATGCTGGTCGACTGAATGCCTGTCACATAAATTTAGCTTCAGTCATTTCACGTTCAAAAATTCAAATTCTAACTGAAACAGCACCGACGACTGGTGGTGACGGTTGTCTCAGTTATCCTGGCTACCGGATTGATCTATTGTGAAAGATGAATGAACATAAATAGTAGATATATACACACTTACATTAAATGAAGGAATCTCTCTCTCTCTCACACACAGTGTTACCTTTCTCTTAGAAGAGTATATCGCTTTTACTCTATGCATACATACACATGCCTACACGTCTATATACACATTTACAACTAGAGATTATTATGGAATTTACATGTCATTTTATTAATCTTGAGCCAGTGAATGATTAACAGATGAATGTGAAGGGGAATTAGTTGTGTGTTTCCTTTGCTGTTGCTGTTATTATCATTATTATCAATGTTGTCGCTGTCATCTTTATGATAAAATTTCTCTACAGCTGAGAACCCTTTTTCATTGCACACACGATAGTATAGGCCAATGTTTTTTTTGAATTTGTACTGCATTGGTTTGAGTTGAGTTTATTTATGCGTGCATCCCATCTCTCTCATGTTGCTATATTTCTCTCTTTTTTTATATAAAATGAAGTTGGTTCTTTGTCTTCTCTGAATTGAATTGATGTGTAATACGCCTTGTCTTCTTCCCCTCCAGACAGACATATAAAATTGTAGTTGTAGGGTGAAGATGATACAAGATTTGATGTTGTTGCTTTCTGTTATCGCTGAAAGTTTTGGCGATATCATTTTTTGCTGACAAAAATGGATGGATGAATGCGTGAATAAGACGCAAAAATAAATCGCATTTCTACACGTCCATACACACACACACACACGCACACACACTATATTTTGCAATTTATTTATTTCTCTCTGCATATATATATGCATATTCTTGTTCTTAGCATTATTACGTAATGCTGCTACCATTTGGTTATTCGTTATTGCATATAATTGGCGTGTTTATGTGTGTGTGTGTGTCTGTGTTCCTCTTTTTGTTTTCGCATTTTATTGTTTACCTTTAAGAAGTCAAAATGCGCATATATCTATATATCTGCATACATTCCTCATTCGCCGCCTTCTCTGTCGTATCTACGTCTTACTGTACTACATACATACTATCTCTTTTTTCAAAATATATATACATATTGTTAGTATTATAGTGGTTATTCAGTGGTGGTTCGTTATTTGCGAGGGATAATATTTCAGGCAAGTTAAGATTGGCGTTTTAAATGGTCGGAGGCAATCAGCAGGAAGCCCTACCTTGTTGGTACTAACCAGTCAGTAAGCGAGGCGTAGTCCCTTCCGAGATTGGGACCCTTGTCGTCATCCAATTGTACAGTCAGTGATATTACTATTTAGGGGCTGTTCGGGTTGGCGATCGACGTTTTGTATTGGGTACCTTGATTATTAGACACTAACTAACAACTAGTGTAATGTGTCTAGTCCTTTGTTCGGTGTAGACTGAATTCTATCAGTCAGTCAGTCAGTCAAGTTTGCAATGTGGCCACACCAACAGGCTAGGTGGTGGCTCACCATCACGATGCACTATACCTGTGAATTGTTGGTATTAGATGATTGGAGGCAATCAGCAGGAAGTCTTGCTTGACTTAGGTTAATTGCCTGTCTTGAAGGAACAACTGATGTCTTTTAATTGTGATATTATAATTCATTTGACACGAAAACTTAGGACTCCATGAATGGATCATATTGATTACACTACCTCTAGCATCTTACCAGGGAAAGGTGGGGATTATAGTCCTATAGTGTATGTAATTCGCGAGCCCCAAATAGCCTAATGGTAATCTTTTTAAAATTGCAGAATCCCTTCAAGATTGCTGTGGAGCTCCAGCGAGCATGACACCTAGGCTTGTTACGTCTTCTTTTTGATTGCCTCCACGTATCTAATTAACAACAGTTCATTGTGCAGTGCATCGTGATTACGGGCCACACTTAGTATGGTGCTGAAATCGCAAACTTGACTGATAGAATTTAGTTTCTTATACAACCGGTTCCCTTTTATTAATTAGTTTGAATAAAGAAAGAAAAAACATATTTACAGGATAATACTGTGGTGTGTACTACTGTTAAGATTTATCGGTAGTATATAAAGAGGTATTCCTCTGCATAAAACATCAAATAGTGGAGAGGTAGATTTATAGTCAGGAAAGACAAGAAATGAACCAGCGTTGTGGCAAAACATGGGAGACAAGAAGAGAAGACAAAGAAACAATAAGAAGGGCAGAAGTAGCGCAACACGCAATATCTGTGCAAACGATGATTTTTATATATATGATTCCTTTATGCTCCCAGTGGGACATAGTGCTTCAAGCTAGAGGTTTGAAGTTTCAATAGCAGTGGTATTTATTTTTACGGGATGGGATTGCTAGTCTCATGTCCAATCTTCCCTTTTTACCAGTCTTACTCTACTGGGTTAGCGAGGTAAAGGAGTGCGTCTTTGGCTGGGGATCGAACCCCGGACCACATGCTTAGTTGGTTGACATTCTAACCGCTGTACCACCGACGCACAATCTTCTCATATAGAGATACGAAATTCCAAATAAACATGCCTTTACCAAGTCTCTCATATGCTGCCGTTCTGATGCGAACTCATTTTATTTCATGGATTCTGTACAACTCAATACATCCTAAACAAAATCGAATTGTAAGTTACAAAATGCTGTCTGAACACAGTGGCTTCAAGTTGCAGATAGAAAGTATAAGCAACATAATTCCGGGAAAGAATGTAAGCAAACGAAATATTCAGTTTTGAAAGTGTAAATGTTTAAATAATCATTAGACAAGGGTGTTGGAGTTCAGACATCGTTTAGAAACAACGGGACACTAGAGAGAGAATAAAGGATCAAACAATAGAGTGAATTCATACATATATTATGTTGGAAAGTTCAGTGGAGTAGGAGTGAATTATTATTATTAGTAGTAGTATTATTGTTTCGTTTAATTCCTAGAGGAACATCGGGCTTCAACCGCACGTCTCCATTGCCTTCTGTTCTCTACCAACGTCTTCAACTGGCTCCATGTATATAAAACAAGTAGATTTGGAAGTTTAACAGTGAGTCCAACTCAGGGAAAGTGAAGATCGAAATTGTGTGGAATGTCATGCAACAGAACAAATCACAAAAGCATTTGAACAAAACAATTACGGGCTACTACAGTAGTGAGAGATTAGCCATGCTATCTTTCTATATACAGAGGTTTGTTTGAAATATTTCGATAGCAGCGGCTTCAGTGAACCGAAGTAACCATGGTTTTCCTTGTGCATTAGCTATTTTCAAAGCCTGATTAATTTCCGATGTCATTTAAGTGTCTTACAATTGCACTTCAGAGCACTTTGCTGATTTTCAAACACAAACTTTTAGGGATAGGCTCGAGGAATCTAGTAGATGTTCACCTCTCAGTCCTTTCCGCTGCAAATGTGAATGAATTGGTAAAGACAGCTGGAGTTGACATGTGGACCAGGATTATTATTTCCTTGTGTTCTGAGTGGAATATAGGGCTTCAACTACACACTTCCACGTTGTTCTGTTTTCTGCCGTCCTCTTCAGCTAGGTCCACAACTGACCAAACTCTCGCATCTCCTCCTCGCCAAAACACGTTCTCACCCTCGTACCGACCACCCACTCGCCGCTTCCCATTTAGGTTCCATTCTAGAGATGACCTAGCCTGCGATGTCATTTGGCGGCCTCCTCAATGGCGTATGCTCGATCCATCTCCTACATACTTATTGAGCGATCGGCTCTTGGTTGTTTTGTTCTCATCCAGAGTTTCTTGTTGCTTATTCTTTCTAACCATTTAATCTTCATTATGGAGCCAGCGAAGACAGCTGTTTATGAAAATCTTTTTCGTGATACTCCAAGTTTCTGACTCATATAGAAGAACTGACTTCACATTGGTGTTGAAAATGTGAATCTTGTTCCTTATGGTGAGTGAGTGCGGAAGATTTCCAAACTAGTTTCAGGTTGGTGAAGCTGTATCTTGCCTTTCCGATTCTGACTGGCTTTGACATCCTCGTCCGTTCCGCCTGTAGCTTAAACGACGCTTCCCAGATTAGTGAAGGAGGCTCTCTCTGTTAAATCTCTCCCGTTGATGGTGATTAGTGCTGGTTGTTGTTGTTGTGGCTGTTCGTTGGTTATTTTCATCACCTCCGTCTTCACTGTGTTCACCTGCAGTCCTGTCTTCGCTACCAGCCTCTTCAGCCAGTTTGTTGCTTTTCGCTTGCAAGTCTTCGAGTTTGCGTAACATCAGACATATATCATCTGCGAAATTCATATCTTCTTATCGGTGCTCCAGCGTATTCCTGCCTCCTCGCCCCCTAAACACAGTCTGATGCGAAATCCAGTCCACCACAATTAAGAATATCATAGTGGGTGATAATAGGCAGTCAGCTTGTCTTACTCCTGTATGCATTTCAAATCCCTCACTGAGTTTTCCATTGTGAGCAGGATACTTGATATAAGTATAAAACTTGGGCACTGTGGTAGATTATAACTCCATTATGGATAAGATTTTATTTTGATAAATCACACAGTGTTATACAGTAATATTAATTGATGACGTTTCGAGCACAAACTATCGCTCATAATCAATCATGTGATATGATAATGAGCAATAGTTTGTACCCGTCTTCTCTACGTTCACACGCAGTGCTGTCATTGGTGCGTGCCTTTTCTGCCAGTTTGCTGATTTTTACCTGGAAGTCTTCGAGTGTGTTTGTCTGTGTGTGTGTGACGTTGGACGTAAATTGTCTACGAAATTCAAATCCTCTGGAGTTTTCTTATCAGTCTAACGTATTCATGTCTTCTCACTCCTTGTGCACAGTCTGACACATGCTCCAGTCGACCACAATGAGGAATATGATTGGTGAGAATAGGCAGCCTTGTCTTATTTTATCCTGTATTCACTTCTAACGCCTCTCTTAGGTTTCTGTCGTGGGTCACCACATGACACTTGACATTGTCATAAAGCCAGCTGTTGAACGAGTCTGATGAAGATTTAAGTCATCACACTTCATAGTGCTGATGTAGTTACCAAATTACTTCACTGTCAAAGGTGTCGAGTTGTTTTCAAGGTCGATGGAGTTGAGGTATAGGTTTGATCACCATTCTATGCCTTGCTCAGTGCATAGAGTCGCAATTCGATCAGCATATAATCCGCCTTTCCTGAATCCGGCTTGTTCTGGAAGGAGTGGGGTGGTCTGAATGGAGTTCTCCATCCAATGCATCTTTTATTCACTCCAGGATGATGTGAATTAGTATTTTACTTGGTATGTAGTGGCTGGATATAATAAAACTGCGTAGAAATCCACAGTTTATGATATATTCACTGATATATTTATTACTCAATGTTTGAAAAAACTTTAGACTTCTGTTATCAGTACTGATGAATAGGTGAAACGAGAATAATGGCGACAAAAATTGCGTAGTTAAGACAAAACACGGTTCCTTTCATCTTAAGTTGTTATCTGTCCACTTCTTAACTTCCTGGAAGCAATATGATGAGAGGTGATCATAAAAATAGCTATATATATCACGTGATTTAAATTAGTACCGAGGTACTGTTTTCTGTCTTTTGACAAATTATCTTCTACTAAAAATATAACTAACAGTGTGTTTCTTAAAGTAATATGTAAGATTCTCAAAGGTTGAAAAAATATTATTTATTAGTCTCTACTATTATTGCTCTCTTGGGTTCATAGTGGAACATAGGGCTTCAACTGCACGTCTCCATTTTCTTCTGTCTTCTGCTATACTTTTCGCCTGCATCCATGTTAATCCATATTCTTTCAACTCCTCTTCACACGATCTCCTCCATGTCACCCTTGGACGTCCCACACGCCGCTTCCCTTTCGGGTTCCACTCGAGGGCTTGGCGCGCGATGTCACCCAGCGGTCTCCTCAGCGAGTGTCCGATCCATCTCCACTTTCTCCTGCATATTTGTTGGGCGATTGGTTCTTGCTTTGTTTGTTCCCATAATTCCTTGTTGGTGATTCTTTCCGGCCATCTGATCTTCAGTATTGAGCGAAGACAGTTGTTAATAAAGGTCTGCAGCCTTTTGGAAATATTCTTTGTGACCCGCCAAGTTTCTGATCCGTATAGAAGAACTGACTTTACGTTTGTATTGAAAATCCGAATTTTGTTGG